GTTGGTTTTCCGCTGAGACCCATCCCGGTGACAAGGTGATGGAATTGGTGATGGGCGAGACCTTTGGTGAGAGCATCGGCAAGGTTATCCTGAGTAGGGATATGGGAGAGTTCAACGGTGTTGTCGAGCACTTTCTCCCTGAGATAGTGGTGTCGCATGTCGATGTGTTTGGTGCGATCATGAGCGACAGGATTCTTGGAGAGTTGAATGGCGGCATTGTTGTCATTGAGAATGGCGAGGGGACCAGAGACCGGGTGACCGAGAGATTCAAGAAGAGTGCGGAGCCAGACTGCCTGTCGGGTGGCATCGGCGGAAGCCATGTATTCAGCTTCCGCAGTAGAGAGAGCTGTGGTTGGTTGCCGTCGGGATTTCCAGGCTACCGGTCCTCCGAAAGCACGGAAGAGGTATCCGGTAGTAGATCGGCGAGTATCCAGGCATCCACCCCAGTCAGCATCGGCGTAGCCCAGGATGATCCTTTGACCAGAGGTAGCATCGTAGGTGAGGCAGAGTTCAATGGTGCCTTGGAGGTATCGAAGAAGGTGTCGAGCAGCATGGACATGTTGCTTGTTCCACTTGCTGACAGTCCGAGCTAAGACTCCGGCAGCATGAGCGATGTCGGGTCTGGTGATGGTGGCCGCATACATGATTGATCCAACCATTGCTGGATATTCCTCATGAGCGGCTTCCTGATGTTCAGCATCGGTAGCGGGAAGAGATCGGAAGCCGGAAGGAAGGGGAGTCTTTGCCGGTTTGGAGTCGAGCATGCCAAACCTTTCCAGGACAGCCTGTACGTAGTGTTCTTGAGAGATGTAGAGTTTCCGGTTGGGCCTGTCTCGGAAGACGTTGAACCCGAGAAAGTAAGAGACCGCTCCTCCGTCAGAGCACTCAAATCGGTCGTTGAGTTTGGTCTTGAAGTCGTCCAGTTCCTGGCGATTATTGCAGGCGATGAGTTGGTCATCAACGTGGACGGAGAGGATGAGAAGGGTATCCTTGGTTGATCGGATGTAGAGACAGGAGTCGGCCGGAGAAGGGTTGAGGCCAAGAGATCGAAGGAACTTGTCAAGAGCCTGATTGAAGCAGCGAGGTGATTGTTTGAGACCGTAAAGTGATTTCTGAAGCCGGAGAACCTTGTTGGCAGGGATGTTGCTGCCCTCAGGAGGTTCGAGATGGACGAGTTCCTCTAGTTCTCCGTTGAGGAAGGCGGCCTTGATGTCGACCTGGTCGCAGTCCATGTCGAGGTAGTTGACCAGAGCGAGGAAGACTCGGATGGTATCCTTGTGAGCAACTCCCGCGTAGAGTTCATTGTAGTCAACTCCTTCCTTCTGCAGAAATCCTTTCGCTACCCATCGAGCCTTGTAGGCGGATGGCTTCCCAGTCTCTCCGTCGATCTTCCGGGTGAAGACCCACTTGGCTCGAAGAGGTTTAGATGTAGCTTCTTGCCTATCGATGACAGACCAGACCTTGTACTGATCCATCTTGTCGAGTTCGGCCTTGATAGCCTCCTGCCATTTGTCCCATTCTGGAGATCGGTGGGCTTCCTGAAAAGTTTGAGGGATGGCCGTGGAGATGAGTGCATGGCCACAGATGACGGCGGTAGCAAGGTTTGCAGAGTAACCAAATTTGGCAGGTGGTTTCCGGACTCGTCGGGAGCCATCAGGCAGGACTGGGTTTTCCGGTGTTGGTAACGGTGCAATATCCCATCCTTTGCTCCAAATGCCGGATGACTTGTGTTTGGCCTGTGTAGCCTGTGTAGCCTGATCACTTGGGATGGTCGTGTCATCACCAGGCTGATCAGGTGAGTCGAGAGTATCGGTATTGTCTTCAGCCGATTGATCCTCTTCAGTTTCAGAGTCTGAGTCTGATGTTGGTTCAGGGACTATGTCGATGTCGACCCGAGTGGACTGGATTTTGGTTTCCAGTGATTTGGTGTTGGTGGAAATCTTTGGTTGTTTACCAAAGACCACATCACGAGAGATGGCGACCTTTTCGGTGTGTAGATCCCAAATCCTGTAGTTGTCGGTCCCCTCGACGTAAGAGAGTAGTTGCCCTTCTTTGTAGCGAGGGTGAAGTTTGTTGGTGTTGTTATGGTCACGGAACCAGAGCTGACAGCCAAAGGGTTGAAGGTGCCGGGAGTTGACTTCACGTTGCCTCCAGAGATCCTCCGGGATATGCTTGTCAGATCCTGTGGGAGCCCGGTTCCTTGTGTAGATGGCGTCGCGCGCGCCGGCGGCGGCGACCTAGAGAGATAGATACAGATGATGGACACCATCACTAGCACTTTGTATGCAGAGTAGTCCATCTAGCATATCATCTTCCCTCTCCACGTGCTGCTTGCCTCCTTGGCGTAGTTTGCCGCTTCGGCCCAGAACTTGTCGTCGAGTCCACTATCGATTAGGAGCGTTCTTACCTGATTGAGAATGGTAAGGTGCGCCCTCTCAACTCTACCGTTCTGAGCATGAGCGGCAGTTGGAACGAAGTGATGCTCGATGCCCTTTGCTTTGAGGTAGTCACGAAGAGCATGTGACTCAAACTCTCCTCCTTGATCCGATCGGATGGTCTTGACCGTGCAGTCCAATTGATTTTCAACTAGGTTGATATAGTCGATCAATGCCTGTCGGGTCTCAGACTTCTTCTTGAGAAAGCTGAGGTTGACCTTCCGAGTGTGATCGTCGTAACAGGTAAGGAAGTAGAGGGATCCTCCAATGGAAGGGATTCGAGCTGGTCCCCAGAGATCGACATGGATAGACTGGAGTGGTTTGCTGGCTCGGATGTTGGAAGCAGGAGCGGGAAGTCGAGATCCTTTGCCTTGATTGCAGGCTGAGCATTGGAAACCGTAGATATCTTTTCCAACTTTGGCCCAGTCCACTGTCTTGTCGAGTCTTCCTTCTTTGCCGAGCTGAACCACTGAGCGAACATTGAGATGACCAAGTCTGCGGTGCCAGTGGTAAAGGATGTTGTCCTCTGTGACGTTAATGGTGGCCGTGATGAGTGCGGCCTTGTGTCGAATAGGAGTGCTTGCCGGATCGAGGACAAACAAACCATCTTGTCGTGTTGCTGTGATGACCGGTTTGCTGGGTCCATCTTCAGTAGTGTTGAGGATTGCTTTGTCTTTTGCAAAGGTCCAAGAGTGTCCGTCGGTGCTCTGTGCGGCACCAACACTCAGAAGGTTCCGTCCCAGTTCGGGTACGTGAAGAACATCATGTAGTGTGATGTTTGGTAGTTTGAGTTGTCCGCATTCTCTGGCGGTGATGTTGGCGCCGTTGCCTATGGTGATGTTTGCCTGGATTGGTAGTTGTTTGATTCCAGTGAGTAGGTTCCTGTCGTGGACCATGTGATGAGTGGCTCCAGAGTCTACGACAATGTCGAGTGCAGACGAGTGGGCCAGAAGGGCATTGTGATCGATGGTGATGCTTGCCATGAAAGCAGAGCCGGCGTTGATGCCATGATGTTGACTCCTGTTGCTTACGAGTGCGGCGATGTTGGCACTATTGTTAGTGTACCTGTTGGCGTTGTTGCCGGTACTGAAGTTGGCGGGCTTGGTGAAACAGTTTGCTGTTGAGTGTCCATTCTTCTGATGGAACTCGCAGAAGGCATTCTCGTCAAAGGGAGATCGAGGAATGAACTTCTTCTTGTTTCCGGTGCCGCCGATGTTGTTGTTGTTGTTGTTCCGTCCTTGTTGACGGGCAGCGATGAGTGCCGTAGTCTCAATTCCTTCTTCCTGAACAATCCTTCTCCTGTACTCAGCTCGGACGGCGTCGATGACGTCCTGCGAGTGAAAGTCCTCCTTGAGATAATAGGTCTGAACGAGGGTTTCGTAGGAAGAAGGAAGCGACATGAGGATGGCAAAGGCAAAGTCCTTGTCGTCCATCCGGGATCGGCCAGAAACGGTGATAGCGGAGTAGGCCGACTTGAGTTTTCCGGTATGGACAGTCGGATCTTCTCCTTCCGCGAGTTGGGATCGCCAGATGATCGCAAGAAGTTCAGCCCGCCTGGATCCCCTTGCGGCCGAGTAGGTTTCCTGAAGATGTTTAAGTAATCTTTCAGAAGCAGAAGGAAGCGTTGCTCTGTACTCATCGGTGTGAGCGGAGTCCCTTTGGACCAGAGCGTGCCAGGTTGAGAGGTGAGACGGGAGGTTGTGATGGACAAGCTGACTGAGGCTTCCGTCGATGATTCCGAAGGCCTTCTTGTCTTTCTTGATCCATTTCGCAAGTTCCTCCGCTGTAGCTGGAGTAGTGACCGTAGTGGTGGTAGTAGTTGGAGCGTTGTCCATGCCGGCGGTGGCAGCCAAGGTAGAGATAGGTAGGGTGTTAGGTCGAGGAATAGTTCCATCAACAATGTCGTCCAGATCCTTATCGATCAAAGTGTTTTGAATCGAGCGGGACCATTCCGCGTAATTGTCAGGACCCTCAAGGTAAGTCCGCTTGGTAACCTTGAGAGTGTCGAGGTCGAGACTGTCAGCCATGATGAAACTAAGTCGATGTCGAAGAAGGTTGGGTGATGTAAACTAAGGTGATGGCCCGTTGAGCTCCGTTGGTAGAGCAGCCGACTCTTAATCTGTTGGATATCGAGTTGATCACCGCTGTATAGTTTGCATGAGGATAAAATATACAAGAGGGGATCATGAAATCAGACCAGAATGGTCTGCTATATATATTATTCTGGTAGGTGGCAAGGTGCTGCGGTTTGCGGTTTGCGGTCTGCGGTTTGCGGTCGCAAGTTGCGGTTTGCGGTCGCAACTTGCGGTTGTGGTCGCAACTTGCGACAGTGGTCGCAGATTGCTAAGCGAGTCGCAGATTGCTAAGCGAGAACAAAAGGAAAGGTGCGAAGAGTGGATGTGCTTTATTGTTCCATGCGGTCTATTGTTCTGGGAGAACAATAGACGTGCGGGAGAACAATAGGATTTGACAAGATCCAGCGAGGTAGCGGTGGGATGGGTCTTGGTTGATCCCAGGTAAGACGTAGCCGGATTCAGTTGATTTGCGGCAGACGAATTGAAGTTGTTAGCAGAAGTCAAAGATGAAGGATACATCAGGATAACTGTGTAGCTGGTTGAACCGCGGTTGAGAGCTGTATGATAGCAGTGGCGATCAGAAATCTGCGTCCGTACGGGTTACGTCCTCAGCGGTCTTGCCTTTATAGCATCGCTCCAGCAAAGGCAGCACGGCATTGTGATCAAAGGAGGAATCCTACAGCAGTTGAAACTACTACAGAGGTCAGCTGATTCGCTATGATTGGTCGAATCACGTTCTTATACTACCGTCACGTGCGAAAGCAACGGATTTAACTACCATTCTTGAAGCCTGGACATCAGCATCAGATAGGACTGGATAGGTCGGGCATCGCAAGATATAACGCATAGCATTGTATTTGCATAGAGGGGGAACATGCGGATCAGATGGTGCAGTATTCCCTTGAACCAGTATATATTCCAATGCGACCATGGGTACGGTCTTCGCAGATTCGGACGAGAAAGATAGTCATAGAAAGTGACAGAAGGCGTATCGTCAGAGAAAGTCTGAGCGAGGGCGTGATACTAAGTTTCGGCATTGGCACGAAGAGCAAGCCTTAGGTCGGAGGTGCTGGTCAGTTATATCTCGTCTGATAACCGATCGAATGTCATGAGGACTCGCGCAATACTCACTGTCGCATCCTCGCCTTGGATGGAATATCAACCTGCCTCTCACTTGAGTAGATACATCCCTCGGGATCGTTCGAGTAGATGTGTTCGAGTTCCTGTAGGTACGCTTCAAATTCACCGATAGAGGTACTGGCCCTGTCGTATCTCAGGTTGTGAAATTGTACGATATTAGGTCTGCTAGCGTAACTGCGGAGGTATTCGAGTGAGTCGATGTGGTCCCCGACCAGGGCTACGATGATCGGGTGCTGCGTAGGACGATATCCTATGCGAATCGAGACCTTTCAGCGAGCAGAATCATCGCTTATCCTCCAGCCCATATATCGCTTACGTGTAATCCAGGTTGATAGCTTGTAATGTTTCGAAGGGTATATGGCGACGTCCCCTGGAGCTTTCCAGCCTTTCCTAGCGCAAGCCACCGCCATGTGACCTAGCTCGACTACAGTGGTACACTTTTTGATGGGGATACCGCCCGCTACGAAAGAAGACCATGCTTGCTCGACGACCTTGTTGTACCATCGGTCGATGGGTCTACCTTCGGAAACGGGACTGTTGTTCTGGATATCGAGGCAGTACCGTTGATCAGTAACATAGTTGTGTGAGTTGTCTCTGCATCCGATGACAACTCACCCGCCAGTCGACGAAATTAATTAGGATGAAAACTGACGATTGTCTTGTTGTTCAGCAAGGCCATTCTAACTTCTGAACTCGGTGAAAGTTGCGTGACTGCCTAGTTGCACTGAAGGAAAAGCAGATACGCTCCTCGTCCTTTTCCCCGGTTAGTAAGCTATATATAATTTGACCGACGTAGATCTATGGGGTGCGCTCCCGCTGCAACCGGCGCGAATCGAGGGTTTTCGAAGCAAGCGATATCGTACGACCGATCCACAGGCAATAGCCACGAACCAGGGGCTGTTCGCTTCGAGAAGCATAAGTTGTTTGAGTTTCTGACGGATCTCGGTAGATTGAGGGATCGTCGCTGACTGCTGTGCTTCTTGTGTCAGACGATCCTCATTGTTCGCTTCGACCTTTCACATCCTGGAGAATTTGACAAAAGGGTCCATGCGAGGCAATTCGAAAAAGGGGACAAGCGGGGTTCTTCTCTCACACAGAACAAGCCAGGATGATATCTTCGAAGCCGAAAAATCCGAAGCTGTTCTTGCAAGACCAGCGCGGTATGAATCGCTTCGAGGGCGACAGCGTGCCGTCTTTAAGTAGAAGCATGTTCGGAATATGTGTTTGCATCTCCTGGCTCTGATGAAGGCCCTGATTATCCACAGCATCAGATCAGGTCGGATCTGGACCGACATGCGCCAAGTATGGTTCGCCGAACAACCTAAGGTGGATAACAACGGTAAATCGCGCGAGTTCTACTGCGCGCCGATCTTCGCACTATGTGCCTCTTTGTCTACCAGGAAGGCGAACGAACATAAAGAACGTTGGAAGAATGAGCACCATCGATTATTTTTGGGGGTGGAGCGTCGAAACCGTTTGTGTTTCCTCTTGGTCTCGTAAGAGAGTGGTTCTATCGGTCTCACTCCACACCTGGACAAGCGCAAGCGCCATGTCGATCACGAGATCGCTGTACGTATTGCCTCTGTATCCTCGAGCTCATAGCCTATTTATTGTTACATATGTTTATGCAACTCACCGAAAGTACTAGTATAATTACCTATATGTATCCGTATATTATCTAAGCAAGGAGAAAAGAATGCTGAATAGTTTGCGCTCCGTGTATGTGCGTGCCGTTTGTACCCATACGACGTTTGTTCATGAATGAATATCTAGAGTCAGACTGGATCATATCAATTGGGTTCGGTCGGAAAGCAGTCGAGATAGTTGAAACCTACTGGTTCATCTGATGATGAAGCTCTTCAATGAGCTGGGCCTCCTTGCTGCACCGCACGTGAAACCTTCCCAGTCGATTTGCGGCATTCAAAGTAAGACGCGGGAATGCTGGTGTAGACGGTGTCCAGCGCCGGAAGAAAATGTTTGGTGGACTCGTCCAGCTGACTCGTACGTTCATACATCAGCTTGTGGAATGTGAAGACATTCGAGAAATCGTCCAGGGCTCTTTCAACTCTGCTGCATGACGTGTCGGTGACATCGACCACAATAATAGGTGTTTTGCGAGGCATATGGCCTGTTGGACACCCCGCGACGAGTCAGCGTCCAACTCTTTATCACTGATTTGTCAAGTCGGACATACTTTTCGCCCATCCTTCGTAATCATCCTCCGCAACTTTCTTGACATCGCCACGAGTAGACGCGAAATGACCGGTAGCCCAAGAATCGTTTACGATCCAAGTGACACTCGAGACGGGCTGTCCAGCTTGCAGAAGCGAGAGCCAGACCCTTTCTCGAATGAGCTTCGTCCACTCAGGTAACGGCTCGATGTCGTCATATGCAAACTCCCACTGTCTCACACTGCGTGTCGAACAATATGTCATATGCAAACCCACGATCGGTAACGAGCTCACCTGACCACAATCACCCAACTGGATGAAGACGTAGACCTTCATACCATCGAAGGCAACGTCCCGATCTTGTTCGACCCGCTCGTATTTCATCTGCTTTCCGTGCTGAGCCGGCATGGTCACGCTGATTCCGTCGATGTCGATAGGTTGATGACCGAGACTTGCATCGGCGTGGAGGGTTGTTCTGATTGACATTGTGTTTCTTGATTTGCCCTATATAGAAGCCCTGCGAAGGTCTAGATCGGAACGTAAACTGATTTGACTATCAGCAAGAAGCGCAGTCCATACTTAGCGCAGAGGATCTGCGAGTTGACGACCCCATTGTCGTTCCGGCTCGTACGGTAACAGTTCTCATGACCAGGATTTGGGGGGTCTTGATCATCTCGCTGTAATGTCGGAGATTTGAGAACATGTAGAGTCGTACCACTTTTGGAGAGCCGAAGATTCTTCGAAACTCTGAATCTCGCCAGCTTCTCAACTTGACTCATCTTTCTCGATGGCGGCATGGGGCGTTCCAGTGGCAATGCATCGAAATGAGGAAAGACAATCGTGTATCTCGCTGTATATAATTCTAACAGCATGGGAGCTATACGGAACCGTAAGGGAGAACAGGCAGTACGTAACTACGTGTACAGATGATTCGGAGATCTGGCAAGACACATAATGAAACGGTCTGGTACACGGTTGGGGGAGTATATGGAGAAAATGGCACAGCTATGAGGCTTTCAGATTGACCGCTCGCGATTGGTCCAGTCGAGCGTTTGACAATCGTCGTCTGACTAGGGCTCTGCTTTCAACTTGCGAGATTTCTCGGTCGGGCTTTCTAGAGAAGTCTTCGCTGTGAGGCAATGCCCAAGGTCAGCAAGGCTGTCTAAGGTCGAACTGACGGACACTTACGTTCGATGACGATTTTTCGTTTTTCAGGTAAAGGCTTCGCGGAGCGGAACGATTTGTAGTACCACTTTCCCGGCCCGTCGGTATAGAACGTCTCTTGGTCCTCCGCGTTCGGGAAGATCTCTTCGACATCGGAATCGGAATCGAAAAAAACGGGCCGAAGGTAATGAATGTGATGTGATGTAACGATATTTTTCCGCTTCTCGATAGTAGAGTAGTATCCAGGGGTTCCTTCATCGGTGACTAAGACGATGACTATCGGCCTATCGTCTGGAATATCTTTTGTTCCCACAGCCTCTTCAGCTCAGCAAAATCAGAAGGCTAGGCGATAACTCACTCTTCGTAATGTCTTTGGGGTCAGAGCACTGTATCCTGTCCTCGAAAATCGCCAGAATTGGACGGTGTACGACCCAGTCATCCCACACCTCGTCCGGTACGACTTCATAAGTCTTGGCCGAGCTGATCTGATCTCCCGCTGCCGTAAGAGAGGACCAAACATGCCGATAGATCTGGTGCAGCCAACGTTGGATAGCACCGTTGGGGGCTATGTCTTCGCGGTAATCCTGTTTGAAGAAAGCTAAGTCAAGTGTGGACTGTGAGACGAATAGTAATCCGAAAGCGTACCTCCCAGCGCCCCATGTGGATGATTATGTGAGCTTCTACGCCGTGCTTCCGTTCTCCGGCGTCATCGCTGCGCAGAATGGTGATCGTCTTCTCGCGGATTTCATCACGGCCCATGTTGCCGTCAGCTGTATTTGATGGCGGGTTATGGTATGATCTCGATAGAGGCGCAAGCGGTGAAAGATAATCAGCCATTAGACTGTCGATGCGACAAGAATCAGCCTTCTTATAAAGGAGAGAGGCGCAGCCGACCTTCAGGTAGTGCCGGCAAACGATGATAGTTTTCAGGGTTCTTCCCGTCAAAACGCCCTAAGTCAATAATGATCTAACTTTCGGTGGATCGACGGTGGATCGACGGTGGATCGACGGTGGATCTTTCTATCTCGGCTATGCGAATGGCGAGCCCCCTCAAATTTCTGGAAGCGGACTTCGGACCGATGTCGCTATCACGAACAGTTATACAGTTACGAAATCGTGTGAGATTTCGAGCTTGAGCATCATCAAGGTGGAAAGCTGGTCGGGAAAGTCTTTCTGGCCTCGCATTTGAGTACCAGCTTGAAGCTGCACTTACGATATCTGATATGTGACGGCCCCTGTATTCTGGTATCGCTGATCGGCTTTGGCTTCAGACTAACCGAGGTGATCTCTGGGATCTCTGGGCAATTTGGTTCAAGGTCACGAGAATCGCAACAGCAGGTTCTGCCACGACTACGCGCTACGTGGCTCAAAGATCAGCGGTTTGGCGTTTCACATTTGCGGAATCAAATGGTGACGAACCGGGCACTGCGATCCACCCTTCGGACATAGAAGGGCTCTTATCTCCGTCAACTTCTCTTCGCCGATCTTTCTTTCTGCCATCCTTTCGATCTTGTGACTCGATCCAGGTGGATACGACGACAGCGGCTGATGAGGGAGGTAGCCAAGGTGGATCCCACGACGAGGTGAAACAATGGTCGTCGTTTCGGCGACAAGCCACAGATCGGCGTCAGCGCGCGCTAGCAACAGGCAGTGCGCAGCAACGTGTTTCAAGTCGTCCCATCAATCATTTTGTGACCTCGCGAAATTGGTCTAACATATAAGCACAGGTCGGCGAGAGTTGTATTCTCTGACCCTCAACATGCACTATCCTGCTATTTCTCCTCAAGTCGGAACGGAACCGTCATCGCAAACACGTTCATCATGACGACCGACAACACCGAAATCGTTCACGTCAGCGGTAAAGAGACCGAGAGGATTGGGACGGAAGCCTTTGTCTTCATCGAGCTCAAGGGATGGGAGGTGACTATCAACGAAGCGAATATCGAGGTCGAACAGAGATGCTGATAAGCCTCGTTATCCATTTTCAGAACGTTGCGCTGGGAGTCGATGGCGATCCCCTTCACAGGTGGTACGACCAGGTCGCCAAACGCGTTTGGTCTTCTTTCACCTGCGCGGGTCATAACATAAAGAAGGCGACTTTCATCGTCGTATATAACAAGGATCTCTGGGAACATTCGATCAGCTCGTATAATCTACCCGGAGACGTTTTGGTCTGTCAGTCGGGTTTCTTTACGGTTCAGACCTGGATTGAAAGTATGTCGGATCGAGGAACTTTTCGTTGCACTTACCTGTAGAACACACCCTTAATAAATCTATCACCGCTTTCTCACATCGCGAACGACGCTCAACAGAAAACCTTCCCGTCCAAAAACCCATCGTCATCGCCATCGTCCACGATACCGACATGCTCCCTGCCGCACCTTTCACTCAATTGGGCGAGAAGACCAACCTCCTCGCGGCGCATTACTTGCGATACGCCATGCCCACCTCGAAAGTCCAGTCCGTCTGGAAACCTTGGCTCGTCGAATGTGAGAGGATCTATAATGGGGAGCCCGAGGGGTTTTATAGGAAGCCAGTTGGTGGGGGTACGGTGGTAAAGCAGGACAAGTAACGGTGAGCGCTCGAGAGTCTCCTTGTTGTTCCCTGATAACTAAGCTCGGAATGGACCCGACTTTACAGCGGCTGTCGTCGAATTCCTCTCCTGCAAGATCTCCTCTGAATATTTCCTCCGATCCCAGCACCCGGCTTCATCTTTCGGGTTGTTGTCATTATCATGCTCACGCATCTATGAACGTTTACAGCTTGACTCAGCTTGACCACTAGACGCCATTATGCGTATCGCCTCACATCGTGTCAAGATACTGTACGCGCCGCTTGCGAATCGTGATCATGTTTCAGGTTGGATACTCTTGCTTGCTCGCTTCTTGCTTCTTGGATACCTGCCATTTCTGAAAGGATCATCTACTCGTTGCCAAATTCTCTGTTTTTTTGATCGTCTCGTTTCGCAAGTCCGCAGCACTTGTCCTTCGCCACATGAGCACATGACTAACACGATCTGATCGAGATGAAAGTCATGAATGATCAACGGCCTGTTGCCTGTCGCAGCTGTTGCAATCGATGGGCAGCTGACGGGAGACGTTCGATGCCGATCACCGATCAAACCTCCGAGATCCGTCCGAAACCCTTGGATTGTAGGTTTGATCGGTTGCGCAGCGGTCGTCTGCAACGTGATGTCGCTACGTAGCCCCCGCCAGAGCATCTTCGAGGATTGCCGATGAACGACGATTCTCTGGCTCATGTCTCAATTTGTCGTCGGATCGACTTTGTTGACCGTTTCAGTTCTTCTCTGCGGGAGTAAACGACGAAGTTTTTCTCAAGGTCTCGTGCCTCGTGGCGTATGCTATATCTACTAAAAACTTCAGGATAGCATGCGTACGTAACTCTTGTATTGCTCAATGTTCCCTCCAAGCGCTTCTCGCCGCATTAACATACCTGAGAGCTAATAGACAATATTCAGCCGCGACGATACGTACACATGAGCCAAGACAGCGACACAAAAACAGCAGTAACGATCGTGGATGTTAGCGGCATCGATGTTGATAGGGTCGGGACAGAGGCGTTTGTGTTCATTCACCTGAAAGGTTGGCAGGTATGTATCGAGCCGCAAATGCTCTCGAATGGACAACCGCACTGATCTAGCGCTTTTCCTAACTGTTAGGAAGGCTACGTTGTCTTCAGCCCCGATGGTACCATCCGACAATGGTTCTACGAAGTTTCCCGACGAGTCTGGTCGTCTTTCTCCGTGGCTGGCGATCCTATCAAAAAGGCTACCTTTATCGTTCATTATGACACCTTTTGGGAGTTATATTGTTCGGGATGGGAAGCACCTGGAGATGTCATCGTGACGGGGAAGGATGAGCGTTCGGCAGAGGCTTGGGCTGAAAGTAAGTCAAGGATCCGAGCTTATCGGAGGGCGGTGAGGTCCAATTGACGTATCTGACCTAACAATCTGTGATAATCGGTTGTGATGATAGAACATGTGCCATCCTCCAAGCCTATCGTGATCGCCATCGTATACGATGAAGACCTGCCAGAATATTACAACAACTTGGAAACCCAGACGAACGTCATAGCATCGCATTCCCTCTTGTACGAGCTGCCCGTCTCATCTGAAGCGGGCATTTCGTTGCAAGAGAGCGCTGATCGCAAGGATTGCGATGAGATCTACAATAACGACCCTAGGGGATTCTACTGTAGATACGGTCGTCGTGAAGGTGAAGTCACTCGTGATGCTTGAACTGTAAGTCTGACTTCGCTGTATCTCAGTATCAGTAGCTGAGTATCATCCAATCGTGGTCATGCTGACAGAGAAGACGCAGAGCGATCAGCCGACCTGTGGCAGATCGAAAGTAGTGTTCCCGTAGCAGACGGCCAATGTCGGATTTGTCGATCACTCGCTTGCTGTATCGTTCCATCTCGTTCTGCTCTGTTCTACGATTCTTTAGCCTATTTGTGAACTGTCCCCCGCCTGAAATCTCGAATCTACGATGTCTCTCAGCCTATGTGTCTGTGTGTCGTGTCTTCCAGATATATGCCGACCTGACAATCTGATTGCGATCAAGCAGACTTTGAGAGCGGCAATGGCATGGAGTTGACCGACTAAGTTAGCATCGAGCTTTATTGCATAAGGAATAGCGCACTTGAAGCTACCGAAGAGTGCGTTGACATATGGGAAGACTGTAGAGAAGGTATATCGTAGCGTATTTCGTTTCATAGTATCGATAGTATCCGGACGGGTGGCGAAGCGCTGGGTTGGAGCAGTCTTTTGATCAGAATCCCGTACAGTCTTGAGATCTGCGATGATAATAGTTTTCAGAACTTCCATAAACTGAATCGAATAGTTATGAGGCCAACTTACCGTCAAAGACTCTTCTCAGGGGCCTCCGCGGGCTCCGGCTCCTTCTTGGTTTTGATCGTCCCTTCGGGATCGCGTCCGTACATGGATTCGATCAAGTCGACGTGGTCAACCATTGGGTACACCAACTCATGCAAAGCGAGGACGTTGCAATCCAACAGGATATTGTCGATATCCTTTTGGCAAGACCATTCGGTATCCTTGACGTGGGCGACGATAATCGGCCTTTTACGAGGCAGACATTCTACGTGAAACGGTGATGAGCGCCTGCAGTTCATAGCTAATACGATTGCTTACTACGCGACCATGAAGAAAAAAACCCATCGCTACCCTGGAGGACAACGTCGACTGGCGGTTTCCAGTCATCAGCCCTTTTCGTCGTGACGTTCCGGTAATATGTAGAAATGGTGTCCGGGAAAACCATACAGGTTTCGAACGTAGAGATCTGGTGGGATGACGCGGTGAAAGACTTCCATACGTTTCGTACGATGTCTCGTATCAACTTGTCGCGCTTCAAAACGGGAAAATTGTCTACGTCGTGGCGCTGGATCACCATAGACTCTTGGTCAGCGTCAAAGTCGAGATCTCAGCTATAGCGGTACTCACCTTCCACACCTCAAGGTCGATGAGCACGAACGCCTCTACCCCGCCTCTGTCAATATCCGTCCCGCTAATTTTGACAACATCCATGGCGGGAGGCTTGACGGGCTCGGCTTTGGTGCCATTTTTCGAAACTGGGAACATACTGTTCAAGTTTATGATATACTGTTACGTCCGGCCTGGGCAGCGGAAGAATTGAGTGTAATTGTGAGATAGACAGATGGACGAATACATGGGAATCGCGATGATGACTACAACCATGCATATATACGTAGCTGCGTAGTGACGGCCCTTCCGACGCGATCAAAGCTCAAGGCTGCCTTCTTGTGGCCAAGGGAAAGAAAAACTGCAACAACGAATGCAATAATAATAATGATCAAACAACCAAACCTCACTTTGTCGCAGTATCCACCTCTCGGCTAGCGCGGCTAGGTCTACCACCGGTTGGCCCGGACGGTCGATGTCGCAACGAGTCCGGTAGAAACCGCGAAACCTTCTTTTTATGTAGGCGATCAAGACTTTCTGGAGCATTCCTTTACATCTCATGCCGCTTACGGAAACCGATACCGCCGGTCTCGCCGAGTTCAACAGCGCTATATCGACGTCTATCGTCGCTCATACTTCTTGTCGTGTAAATCCTTTTTACTTAGGTTGTCGCTTGCATCACTTGCTCCAGCGATGTTGCGAATGAGACCTGCAACTTGACCGCTTTATCGAGCTGTCGAGCTGTCGATTTATTGTCCATGGATTTTGCGGACAATCGTTCTAGCACTCGTCGCATTCCCGCGGTTGTTGTATCTTCTTCGATCCACCCGGATCCACCTAAAACGAAAGGATAGCACCATCGCTGATCATTCCCCTGGTGGATCGTTTTTAGAAGTCAGGTTCAAAGGACACGCTGATCTCTGATCTCTCAACATCGCCGATGACCCTCAAGTTTCTTGGAATCCTCTGATACTGTCGAAAAGCCCATCAATACGGGCATTATTCAGTGAAGGAAAGTACGAAGCGCGTCTGATTGCCCGACAATACGATCGATGTGATTTTCCGATCAAACCAGGCAAGTGAACACGGCAGATGACATCGGCAACGAGACGAGCGAGATAGTAGACTTGATGGGAGCGGGATGAAGGGGGCGCAGGCGGACGAAGCAGACGATCCTCAGGCCTCAGACTACCTATGAAACTATCTAGCATATCTAGTGTATCGTGCACGTCCATTCAGATTTCGGGATCGAGAATATTGAAGGCCCAAGATGGCAACGTATGATCGATAGTAAATTCGCTCGAACGTGAACCTATAACAAAGAAGAGTCAGAACTCATTCATACTTATTGCCCCAAGCTGCTAAGGGTTACCGTCAGACGTCTTATCCAGCGAGATCTACAATCTCAGTCTGCTCCTTGGATTCGATCGTACCCTCTGGATCTCGTTCAAAGACGAACTTCAACAACGCCGGAGTGATGGAATACGCGTATTCCAGTTTATGAATGGCCAGAGCATCGCATTTTTCCACCTTCTTCAGCAGTTCATTCCAGCTATCTTGACGATCGACGACCCCGACGATGATGATCGGTTTCTTGAGCGGCAGACAACCTTCAATTCATAAGTCAGGACGTCAGTCTCTAAAGCCTGTACTAGGTTCCCGCCGATCCACTTACTGCTTAACCATGCGTCGTAATCACTACAGTTACCTCCGAGCTCATCGAACACCATGTCTGCCCGTGGCCTCCAGTGACTGGAACGTTGAGACGCCTTTGCCGAAAACGCCATACACGTAGTAATACTGGCGACCTGATGCTCTCCCGCTGTTAGAGATTTCCACACGTTCGCCATGACATTTCTGAACCATTTTTCGCGAGTCTCGGAATCGACGCATTCCACTGTCTGTGCGGCGTTAACAGATGATCCAGTGCATTAGCTTGGTCATGCCGTCTTCTGAAATTGGCGGTTGTTTCACGGACCTGCCAGCTACTCAACGAGATAAAGACAAACGCCTCTACGCCAACCCTTTCAACATCTTTCCCACTGACTTTGACAACCTTCTTCGAGTACGGTGTGTACGGTTTCGGACTTTCCTCCTTGACGGTGACTTTAGGTGCGCGAGGCATGATTGGGCGGTCTTCTGGCGTAAGGATTGGAAATAAAGTAGGCGACATGAAGGTTGACGACGTTTGTCTGGCACCAAGAGCGAAGCCGATTCTATAGTAACCGGATGGTCTTATATGAGCGAGGCTTCTCGGCGCAAAGGACTTCCTTTGAACCGCCATCGCATTGGCGCGGGCGCTTACTCGGTCGTACGATCCACCTCCGGCTTTTTGCTATGCCCGGACTATAAGCGAGAGGATCTGCGGTGAATCAGCTTTTTGTTATTTCGGTTACGGTCACACGTAATAAGTCTTGATCGTCGCTCTTGGCGCATCGTTTTGTTCTGGCGACAAGCAGCCCTGAAAGGTTACAGTATCAGCCGCCTGAGCCGCCTGGAGGTCAGTCAAACTAATTTGAATGGTCGTCTCGAGTGGTCGGCAATGTGTATCAATTGGGCATCTGCATAAGGGAGTCCATAGAACAGAGATTACATCGAGAAAGTTTCGTGTATCGTGTATTAGATGTTACGTAGGACAGAGGAAGAGATCCGTAGAAAGGCTGACCAACTTAGGTGCCACGGAGCGTCACATTCGATAATATTGAACTGAGATGAAGCGGGATCAGCATCTTTTGCGGTCGACGGAGTTGTATCAAGCTTACCGTTAAACGTCTTGGCCCAGGATGGCGGTAGTAGACTCTCTACCGATAACCTTCCTGATCTCGATCGTTCCTTCGGGGTCTCGCTTGTAGATCTCCTGACACACCGTGTCAGGCTCGACGTAGTGTAGATATTCAAGCTTGTGTAGCGCCAAAAGGTTACAGGGTTGAATCTTATCGAAAATCCTTGGCCAGTAGGTTTGATGATCAGTAACACTGACGACGACGATTGGCTGTTTGAGTGGCAGACAAGCTGTTCACCAATGCACAGGCGTAAGCCTACATTGACACCACCTTTTGACGGCAGTCTACGTACAGCGTGACCAGGTCTTGAATTGGTCACCACCAAAGGAGTCGAGAACATAATCGACCGGCGGTTCCCATCCGCCCGACCTGTCCGATGCCCACCCAGAGTATTTCATGCAGACAGTGATCTCCGATATCGGTTGGGCTCCTGCGGCGAGCGACTTCCAAACATTGCGGACGATGTTACGGAATAAGCTGTGTCGAGTGTCGTTGCTGAAGCTCGAAGGCAGTCTCTGCGACGACTCACGTAGTCGGAAGTCAGTGTCCAAAATGACTTTTCATGTGTGGATCACTAACTCGGTATAACATACCTCCCAGCCGTCCAAATGAATGAAGACGAACGCCTCGACTCCTTTCCTAGTGAATTCCTTTCCGCTGATTTTGATTACCTCCTTGTCCGTCGGTTGCGTTTCCGGACCCATGATCGTGAGTGTGAAAAGGTCGGTCGTCGTTAAATATGTCGTAGTTCCTTCGTGATGTTTAGAAAGGATGTGACCGGTGAGAAGAGATACGTGTTGCGAAAGGGCCAGAAGAGGAATGAATGGGGATGATACTTGGAGATATATACCCTCGGATCCGTCAAATTGGACACCAGAGGCCAGAGGGAGAACACAGTATCTTTCTTGTACGATCCGACTCAAACTTTTCCACAGCGCTCACATACCACAGCCCTCTTGTTGCCTGATGCAGTCACCATGACGTTCATTCCTTTTTGCCGACAGCGACAAGATTACAAGAGCTGTTGATTGCCTCTCGAAAATCGAGAACGAAAAGACAAAAGCACAAAAGCATCACGAAACATTAGCGCGCGCTCGCTTACAAGCGGACGACGACCGATGTCTCACTCTGTCGCCAGATCCACCATGAATGAAGCTGAAACAAAAGGGACATCAGCGCGCTTCCGCAAGGAACGTAACGATGTTGCAAAAAGAAGATGTCGACCGATGTTTCACCTTGTCGTACCATCCACCTTGATCGCTTAGAGCCCAAAGGCCTCCCTTTCGTTTCTTTCGGACGAATCTCGGCGTCGCGTGCCTCGAGTACAAACTTAGTTTGTGTAACAATAAGAACTCCACTGTTCCACTGAGCCACTGCGGCGGCTGATTAGCTGATCGACCAGCTGCCGGTCAATCTTTGTATCACAGCTCTGAGAATCTACCGACAGTATCTGCTTTTATACATGCATACACATATATGACCACGAGGGTTGCCATTAACGCGCTGATACGAGAGGTTTGCCCAACACCTCGACCGTGAGTCAGTCACTCGACGTAGAAAAATCAGCTAATTGCGGTCAGAAGATCATGGCACTTCCATCGAGATCTGCCTACTACGATGTCTTCGGGGACGAGAATCAAGGCGTGAAAGCGTACATCTTCATCGATCTCCATGGCTGGCAAGTAAGCACACGACAGCCTCGCTCTCCTCTCGGTCGACTTCCCTCACCATCGTTCGTTTGTAGGAAGGATCCATCATCGGTCATGCTGAGGATTTCCACCGAGCCTATAACAACATCATGAAAAGGGTCTGGCGATCGTTCATGGAAGCTAAGGATTCTATCTGCGACGCTCAAACCTATATAATCTGGCCCGAATCCTCCCTAGCTCGGCGATCGCAGGGTTGGTTCCCGCCCGGAGATCATGTGTTTGTGAAGGAGAAGATCGAAGAACAATTACAAGACTGGATCGATGGTACGCATACCGCATTGCCTTCTCATACTGACACTGATTGCCAAACCGATATAGTCTTCCTGCCGGCCAACGAGCCGATTGTCCTAGCTTTCGTGACCGACTACACAATCGTGCCTGGTACCATAATGTTCGACGACGAGAATATCTTTCGCCCATTGGAAAAGCATCGTACCGCGAAGATCGTTCACAAACTTGAATACGCTCGAACCCCCACGGATTTGGCGGATAGGACGGAGTTTGAACTGATTTACAACCGCGATCCGGTATGCCGGCACGAGAAGAAGGTGACTATCGAACCCAACGGCGACGATCAGATGTTGGAACATCACTGCCGTGCTTCATCTGTTGCGTAACGTTTCGAGCTGATGATTGGTGTTTGCGTTGCATAGTGATCTCCGTTTGCTTCGCGGTCCGGTCGTGCCTATAAGTGGAAGAGCTGCGGAAAAGGATACAGTGGACCACATATCATTCGTGCGACAGATGTGTTTGACGAGGAACGCGCTGTATGTCGATATATATGTCATGGTTATACGAGTTCATGGTAGACTTCATTCCATAACCCACGGCGATATGAGTCATTTCAAGTGAACAGGCAATCGTTTGGGTGGCTCGATCTATTCCGGGAGGCAAGGGTGTATTTGAACAGGCTCAAAGCCGAGCTTATTGAACGTCGCAGATGCTTCGAGCTTCTCGGATACATGATGGTAGAAACAAGGAGTGACCCAAATACCGACTTTCCCGTGGTCTGTGTTGCGTACACCAGGGTTGACAAGTTCAAAGTACTGGATGTCTTGAAAGAAAGACACTGAGAAATAGAACACAACTTGTTGATCAAAGGAAATAGCGTTAGCCGTCAGCAATAACTCTATAAACGGTGTCCCTTGTTAAACGATTCAGCTTCTCAGCTCGGCTGCTAGAACGTACAAAAGGCTTTCTTTTTTGTCGTTCGGACGGATCTCGGTGGACTACGATTTCGATCAACAGAACAATGGGCTTCTTTGAGACAAGAGAAAAGCAGATCCACCTTCTCGTCGATCGCCTGGACACTATCGGGCTTCCCAACCGCGCGGAGTTGTGAAGAACCTCTTCATATATCTTGCCTCGTATCATTGAGCACTGATAACCTCATCATCCGATCAGTCTCGACGTCATACAACTACCTTCTCACCCAATCGATATCACAAAACATCAGACATGAGACCGCCATCCATCCCTCGCTCGAGTGTGACACCGAAACCACCCAAACCATTCTTCCGATCTTCGCGGCGTGACATGGAAGTCTTCGATCGGAAATACGGAGTGATGGATATGGAAGCTCACGTCTTTCTCGATTTGAAGGCATGGCATGTCAGTATGGATTCCCTATACTGGCCGTTCCCCGTCAAATGTTGCTAAGAATCGACGCTGTTTCTTTCTAGAAAAAGTTGAAGGAAGACGATACGAAACCGCTCGAAGCTGCTCAGAAGCATATCATGCAGAGAGTCTGGCGGTCATTGGTAGCAAGCGGCGACCCGATCTCGGCTATACATACGCAAATTCTCAAACCCAACGTCCCTCGCTCGGGTGATCGACATGATGCGTATCATCGGAACCTTGCGAGTGAGTCGTCTCGAACGCAGCCCCATGTTGTAGTGGATCTGAAGCTAAATTCGTTTGGTATTGATTGGAATCTACAGGATTCTTGCCCGGTTTGAAGCCGATCGTTATAGCCATCGTAACCGACTACGAAGTACCCAAGCATTCTTCCGGGTTTAGTCTATTCTTCTAGAGGACGAACGTGAAGACCGTACATAAGCTACATTATCCGACCGTACCTTGGGGTCTCTCGGACTACATGTTCGCGTCGTTTTAGGACCGCGATCCCAAAGGCTGTTACCAGACCAGAGTCGGAAGGCAGTCGTTATGGTTTGATGAGTTTCATCGACGGTGAGCGCACCTGATCTCACGTTGAGTCGGGGGTTTGGCTAATACATGAACCGCTCGATCAATTTCTAGCGTGGAAGCCGCTGCTCAAAGTGGCCAAAATAGCTCATGATGGAGACGTTGCCAAAGATACGAATACGATTCTACTTGTAAGAACTTATGGATAAATAACACCTCTCATTGTCTTATGCATGATGCGTATATACATAACGTCATTCCACATGCGTGTCGTGCCGATCCCACTTATTGTGGTCCTTCCCGGTGCACTAGTACCGTCGTGATAGTCGGCGATAGTTGCCGAGCCTTAAACAGCGCTGTTATGAGGATATCTTTATACTTAGATCGACTTCATATGATATGCACATTAATGTTGCAGTATCTCCAAGATAACAGCGGTCTTCTGTCCATGTCCCCATCGTTGCCGAAGCTCTCAGCCTGAAGAGCATATTCGAAATTAAGCTTTCGGATGTAAATCTGGCTTGGCGCCGGAAGTAGATGATGTCATACACTATTGCAATCGAACAGCTGAACTCAGGAACAGTAGTGGATGTGAATGAAAGAACCCGGCGAGACTATAACGTCGTTTCGCCGGCACCGCGTGCATAGACATTACGCGGATGTGAACGATGTACCCAGCTTCGCGCCAGTCGCGATGTCGCGGGCCATACTATCAGCATCGATTCGGACTACGATAGTTTACAATGATGGGAGGACGCGTCGGATATCGAGACCTTCCCCATCGTCTCAACTATATTCCAATGTTTTCCGAAAAGACGTAACCAACGACCCTCCTCAAATCCTGCCCTTCGTAGCTGTACTCCGCCCATACTTCGGAATCACCTTGAGATTCTCGCAAACGAACCCGTTCCATACACTCCAGAGCTGCAGTCAGACTCTTGACCAAATTCCTTCCGTCGGTAAGGTGCTCTTGCACCGATGGACCGCTAGAGCCGTCGTCTAGGTTCTCATTCGATTCGAGAGACTTTCGCACAGCTGCATCGATCTGATGACGTATACAGACCTTGCGAGGGAACATCCTATCGTGCGAGCAATCCCTTTCTGCGGAACCCGCGATTGGACTGGGCAAGTCGTAGAAGATCCCTACAGGATGAGCGCCCATCAAGATCACTTCGATCAATTCATCTCCAAACAGCTCTGTAACAGTGCTCGTTGTGCCCCGGTAAAGTTTGTTCGCTCGGGTCTGCTGAACATCGTTGATATGTGAGGCAAGTTTCGGTTCGAGACGTAGAAGAAACTCGCTTCGCACATTTGTGCCCTGCGTCGAAATTGAGCTTCCTGTATCCACAAATGCCGTCATAACCCACTCGGTTGAGTGAGTCGGCGCAGTACTAGTTCTTTGGAGAGCCGTACCGACACCGTAATGGACTGAACGAGATCCTTGCCCTGAGAAACGTCCCTCAACTCGGTGGCCAATGAACCGGATCGACTCCTTCTCCATGACATCAAGGTACTACAACATCCTGATAGACGGCTTATGGAGTTTGTGCTGGGATTGGTGTCGCTCATCTCGGTGCGTCTTGAGAGCTGATGGAGATCCCTAAGGATGTCAGCACTGTGAAGACATATCTCGAGTTCTTTGCTCACCTTATGTATTTTTCGCGAAAGAGTCTCGATTCAACTACAGGAAAAATCTCCGAGGCACCGTGAAAGGAGCATCGCAGAGAAGGTCATCGGAGAATATACTGCTTCGACACGATACCTCGATTTAGACTCACTCAGAAGATCTTCCGCAGCTATGTTCCAAGGAATCGAGTTGAAGGAGCAAGCCGGAGGAGTAGCTTTTAGTCACAGCTAAATGATTCCGGAGAATAACGGCCGTCACGCCTGCACCAGCAACCTGCGCATACATAACGCTCTCCAAAAGGAAGGCAGTCGATCCTTTCTGTACACAACTTTTCAAGAACGAGTCCACTGACCAGGATGAGAACGCGATGAGTCCAGAAGGTCGGAGTCCTCATTCGCGGAAGCGGGCGAGAAGTTCGGCGACTGTGGCGCCGATCTAGCTATCGACGAACGATCGACATGTCTATGAAACGGTAGTACATTGCATGAGTATGGGGAAATATAAATCTATCGATCTGGCCGAGTCAACATCGCGTGGACCTGTCATGATTGTCGACGTTATTTCTTTCGCTGTGATCGGATCGATCTCTGCCGAAGATCCGATCTCAGCGAAATCTCTGCCGAACAAAGATCATCTCGGGAGTAATCTGGGAGGTTCACTGTGAAGCCGGATGGCGCGACCCAAACAACCCCGATTTGAACCTCGGAGATGATACTGTAATTCGATAAGCTAAATACAACCTGACGGTTCAGTGAAAGTTCCCGATACGAGCTGAAAGGAGCATCGCAAAGAAGGTCGTCGGAGAATTCACTGGCAAGGCGGGACTGCTTTGCTTTCAAGCTCAATGAACGTTTCGCAGCCATTCCATTAGAGGAACGAGTGAAAGAAGCAGGTCGGGGCAAGGTGCTCTCACTCTCAGCTGAAAGCACTCGCGATCGTTACAACATGAATGGCAATTGCGTGACGTCCATACAAAGCGATTACTAAATTATAGACTATCTAATCGGTACGATTGTTTGTCAAGCATGACGTTAAGGTCACAATGAGTCCAGGAGATCAAGACGTTCGATGGCTAAAGCGACGAGATCGGCGGAAGCTGGTCCTCCATAGACGACTGAGAGATCGCAAGAAAAACATAAGTGCTGGCCTAGCGAGAGCTTAACCGTTTCAACCTACAGAACTTATTCAGTCATCGGCAGAAGGATCTTGCACGGGCTTTTCCATCTAGATACTGAGCAGGTTATTCCCATCCGCATAGAGTGTGGTGCCTCGTCCTGGTACGTATCGGGAAACCGTTCTAGGCTTGCTATACTTCAGGGTGTGGATGGCAAGGACGTTTGGGCGGGAATTGAGCATCAAGTAGGTGCTCGATTCGTTAGGATAGGAGTGATCGGATGCTAGAGCGATGAGGGTATGCAGTTGGGTCGGGATCATATCTGATGGAGACTCAATATCGATCAGCAGAGTTTGAAAGGTTTTCGAGAAGGGATTATACCGCTTCCATACCGGAGATGAGTCTGTCGAATTTGGCTTGATCGCAAGTAGGTATAACGAAGTCTACGGGCAACTCCACTTGTCGATATCCGGTCTTTGCCAAGACGTCAGATCCGATCATGAGGACTGAAGTGCAGTCGTCGTCGAGGAACAGGCTTCCTGAATCCCTTAGCGATTGTTTGCATCGAGCGACGATGAGGACGATGGCATCGTGCAGTGACTGAGGGGACAGCTTCGGATAGATTGGGTAGTCCTACTAGGCTGAAGCGGGATGATCAGTGAATGTGGCAGTGCTCGAAAATCGAGCCGACTCACTGCCCATAAGCGGAAATCGATGAGGATATACACCTCTCGCCGATACCAAGCAGGACTGGAGATCATGTCGTTCGTGAGGAAGTGCTGATGATGGACGTCAGGATTTGTTACGAATACACGGGTTAGATCGCGATATCTGATGCCCGGGGCGATGGTCAATTCTGAGATCACGAACATATACGAAGAGTCCATTATCGCGGGGCAACCTGTAGCGTAGGTCCTCCCTCTGCCAGAGATATCGATGGTAGTGATTGTCGTCTGTGTTTGTTTTGATTTGATCGGATCAATCTCTGCCGATCATTCTAAAGGAAGTAGCCACTTGCGCGGCACTCCGGAAGTTTCTCGGAAGTTTCAGGATGAGGCCAGATGATTCGATGCAGGACTGAGTATGAGAGGTGATGTTCGCACATGAAATCTGATGGATTTCATCAGTCAAACTTCACCCAGCAGCGTGAAAGAGGAGAAAGAGCGGCAAAGATTTTATGAGCCCGACGCGTATGTAAGGGGAAGCTCCCTTAGAATTCCTGAACAGCGTTTGCCGCCATCTGATCATACGATGGACAAGACGGGCATTATTGTCTTCTGGGCCCCGTCGATGTATCTGTGGTTACGGCAATTAAAAACTGTTCTCGGCTTTCTCGACCTTTGCTCACTTTGCTGGCAGACTTGCTAACGATTGACCGAGAAGCGCTGGCATGCCTACCGTAGGACTGCTGCTTGTCCAATCTGGATCAACGGTTATTACATACTCCATCGATCTCGCATAAAGAGCGTTCTACAAAGTATGCTCAGCCAAGTTGTCTTATTCTGCCGCCCAAGGCTCAGCTTGCTTCATAGCCGACACTGAGAGCCACCCCACGACACGCAGTCGAGTCTCTCCTTTCCTATGGTAGATGGCCCAGGCTTCCTGGTTGTCGCCGGTATTCGCAGTGGCAACAACCACGTGGGCCGAACTGACCACCGCGGCTCGTAGCATATCGGCGTTACAGTTGGCATGTGACCGTGCCAACTCCGCATGTGGTCCACTCCAAGCCCGAAAATCAATTGCGATCCCTTTCACGTCTTGAGCTTGTTGCGGCAGGTCGAAGTATATCTCGATAGGGTCTTCGCCCATCATGTAGACTTTGATCGATTCCTGACTGATGCGGAAAGTGCCGGAGCGGAAAGTAGGCGACTCAATCGATCGGCGTTGGAGCTCACTAACATATCTCTTGACCAGCTTCTCAAGCCCTAAACGCATATAGCCACCTCCTATGGCGATCTCATGTTTCCCATATCTGAGATCTTTGATAGATTCACCGAATAGCGAAGCTAGCTTGAAGATTGCGTCAGCGGTATCCTGTCTCTCTGTTACCGCCGTGAGACCTGACACGGCGATCGTAGAAGTTGTCTCGCCGTCGTGGCTGTTTGCGGTAGCGGAGCTGAGTGTCAGCTCTCGCCTAGAGATACCAAGGAAGTCGAGATCGGAAAGAACCATCGAGGAAGGCCTGTTGTGGCTGGAATCGTCATTGGGAGCACAGGACATGGGGTCAAATTCTGGAAGGCTGATCACATTTCTCATATCAATAAGACTGATCGAACTATATTTGGAGGAAACAGCAAGCGAGATCCGTCTGTTATATGTCCCACGCGGTTAGGACAATGTGGGCCAGCTGCCTCGTCACGATGACGATATCGATAAAAGGAACGCCAGTATGACATTCTTGATGATGTTGCCACCAAGACCACGTGATTTCTGGAAGCGCCATCTTCAGGAGCTATGTGACCCCCTGACTCGCGACGGATGGCTTCCTTTCGGTGATGTCAGTATCTGAACAATCATATATTTCAGGGCGTGGTGTTATACTTTCGAAGCCATGGAGATCGATCACAGATTCGTTGGACAGCACCCAGTAGGGCAAGATCGGCGCCATGCGATTATGTTCACTTATATGTACTCCCGATACCTCACAGCCTAAGCTCTAGTGTCATGCAATCTAAACGTAGCGACACGAGAGACACATTGATGTAACAGAATGACTTGCCAACAGCTTGTTTAGACTATGCTCGATCTATGAACGGCACCATATTTATAGTACAGTATGTACCCAATCGAGACCATTTCTTTTCATGGACATGATCACGCGTCATAAAGAAGAGAAAAACAAGGAATCATGATGCTTTATCACACCGTATACAACCTAGAACTCTTCTGCTTTCACTTTTCCATCATCTAAGAAGATGCTCCAGGTCTCTTTGGTGTCGGGACACTTGCACAACTCCCATTCCGGCAATCGATCAAAGAGGTGTGCCATTCCATCCTTGAGACAGTGGTTATCTCTGGCGCTGGGCAGAGCAGCCAACCGCACAGCTCGCTTCATCTCGTTAACTTCATGTATCTTGTCACTGTGATCGAGAAGCGGCACGGTTATCACGACGAAGACATCGGAGAGCCCGCTAAGGTATACGTGAGCCGGAGTGGACGGAAGCCTGGTTTTTGCCTCCAGCCAGCGCACGTAGTCTCTGCAATGTTCAAGTGTTGTTGTAGAGAGTATTTCGGCTGTAACTGGAAGCCCCTTTCCGCGTAGAAGGTGCTTAAGAGCCGGAAAGAAGTCCAGGGCCAGTGGTCCCGTATGCACCGAGACAAGATGAGGAGACGGTGCGGAAGGATCGCTACTAGGCTCCGTTTGATCTCGTGATTCTGTATAGAGAGTTGTGTTTTGCGACAGACCCCCGAAGAGGGTTGTCAATCGGTCAGTGAGACTTTCAGTCGGCATGAATCAAGGTTCGCTCGCGCCAGTATTCGTCGTGTCGCGTGTCGTTTGTGAAGTGTCGTGTATAGATATCGCAAGAAGATATGTACGTTACGCTGGGAACCTCCATGTCTGCTTATAAGAAGCTACGGACTTGGTGAGGGAGTCTAGCGTATTGTTTAATTCCGCCTCGGAATCATGAGTATCAAAGGAGACCATGGTTTCGGTGATGTAATTTGATGGCGACGAAGAAGCTCGATAACCGACCGGCTTTAGGCGGTCGTCAGATTACACGGTCACCTGACCTTGAAAACAATTCATGGTCCAAAGGTATACTGGTATACCCCAGACTCGGACAGGTCCCGTGGCTGTGAATATGCTATTGATAAACTCGGCCATCGATGGTCCGTTACGAAGCTCAATCATGGGATCGCCTGTCGATTCGTATCGTTCCGTTTTGTAACAAGCTCAGGATCTTTCACATATGATACATAAATAACTGTCCGCTCCGATGCATGGCTGCTAAATCCTGTCTCATCCGGCATCACGCCTCTTTCCTCGCAGTTTGTAACTCCCCATTTGCGATGATCCCATAGCCCTGGTCGAATCTGCTAAAATCTTTGGGGTGTCGGATGCACCAAGCTGCTACGTCAGCGGTGGCTATATGCTTAGATATCCAGCCTTTGTTCCCCATGTACACCTCAAAGGCGGTCATCACATTCTGTGGCGAGCGGCTCGCTGATGGATGTTTAACCAGTAGAAGGAGGATCTCTTTGAGAGCATTCCGCAGATTCGACGATGGAGGTCTTTCCCCAGACGGCTTCGTCTCTATGGTGAAGCAGAAGAGCGTCGTATCTCCCTGGGACATAGCCGAGATAGCAACGTTCTGGTTGACCAGACCGTCGACTCTCACCTCGTACTGTACAGGATAATCGCGACAGGTGCGTGCTAGATGCTTCTCCGTGTAGACGCCCTGGAGCCCTTCGACAAACTTCGTCCTGAGCATCTGTGAGCCTCCGACAGTATCGCCTAGTCCTTCGAAGATCTTGTTATCTTCGAGCAGGTTCAGAAGATCAATGAAAGGAGTATCCTTCAGACATAAACATCAGGTCAGCAGCTGTTGTGAACAGGCACTAATTGAAGGCCGACTCACAAGGAAGGGGTTGGCTGTGGGGGAAATGGCCTCGGAGATGGTAGGAGAAGGTAGAGACTCTGGCGCATGCCTCGTGGTATTCGAGTCAGGCATGCTCTTGTCGACCTGGGTGTGAACGCTCGATTCATCCACGAAGACTGATGGATCACGTAACGCTTGCGATGTTTCGCCCGAGGAGGGGCCGCTCAACGAGAGCGAGAAAGTTTGACGCGCTCGTTTCAGGAAACGTCTCGTCCGTCCTGAGTTTTTGGTAAATTCAGAAGATTCCGTCATGATAACAACGATTCCCTAAGACTGTCGTTCGTGAGTAGAGCCTTGCTGATATCTTTCGATGGACTGTTTCGATCCCTTGACCATGCTGTGCTGATATACTGCTGGCGCTCATAAGAGACTGTTGCTTCTCGCACGCCATCGTGAATCTCTGTACAAAGGAACGCTTGCGGTCACGCCATGAAACCCCGTGTTGCAGCACACGACTACTACTGCAGCAGGGTCGCAGACGCGATTGACCATATATGGCGCGATGAGATAGAAATACCATTGTTTCGCTTGTCTGTCGCTTCCTCCGATCTTAAAACCTCATCACGGTATTGATCGATACCTGGGAGCTGCTTTGCTTTTGAATGTGAAGGTGAAGGCGAGATGCTTCTTTGTGCCGATGCTACTGATTCCAACAAAGGAGAACTGACTTTTGAACCTGTGACAGCGACTGATGGCAATATCGCCTTGTGTCCGGCTGCGCGATTCCCTACCATATACCTCGCTGACTATGACGGAACAGCCCGGGTATCTCGTCATCGCTATGTAATCATCGGTGATTTGTGTGGCAATGCGAACGTGACCTTCAAAGTTCGATTGCCATGGTATACTATAGGACGAGTGACATTCATGTTCTTCGCCGTAGAGATGCTTCGGAACCATATCATCTTGGTCGGTGCTCGCGAATACAACATATACTACCACATCGCATACAGGCCCTCCATTCTATGTCAATATGAATACCTCGCTTCTTCCCCTTCTCCGTTTGCAATCACCCCATAGCCGAAGTCATACCAGCCTCCAAGGTTATACCTCTCAATTGCCCAAGCTGCTGCTCCATCAGAAGTCTTCTCCATGAAGAGCTCTTGTAGGGGCGACATGGTTTCTTTGAGTGCATACATGATGTCGATGGGCTTGCGTTCCGACAAACCACGATTCTGTAATCGCATGCGCATCTCCTCAAATCGACGCTTTAGATCTATGGTGTGCCTTGCTCCGCCGGAAAGCTCCGAGTTCAGGATGAAGTACAGAATCGTGGTTTTGGTCTCATACACAGCGGCCATGCAAGCTTCTTGTACGACGAGTCCGTCGACCTGGAAATCATAAGACTTGACAAGATTGCGAGGCGTTTCGCGAGCAAGATGTTTTTTTTCGTAAACATCCTGCAACCCTCTAACAAAGTTTCTTCGAAAGGCTTGTACTTGTTCGGAACTGTCTGACAGATTCCCAAAGACCTCTTTCTTCTGCATGAAGTCCAAAAGTTTTGCAAAGGGGGTGCCCTTCATTGCAACTTAGCGTCAGTGGGACACTTGCGCGGCAATGAGGTGGGTCAGCTCACTTTTGGAAGGTCAATCGTCTCAGGTGTAGCGTCAGAGCAGGTGGCAGGAGGAAGAAATCCCGTATCCGACCCCGTTCCTCTGGACTCAGAGTTCCCCATGCCGCTTCCTGTATCGATGCTCGGGTCGTTGGTTTCAATCGTCTGCTCGTATCCGGTCTGCTGGATTGAGATCGTCTTGTTTGAAGAGGAACTACGGAATGAGAGAGACCCGATCGCCCCTTGAACCAAGCTCTTTCCTCTTTTCCATCGGGTGTGAATACCAGAATTTGGCATGGTTGTTGACAGTCTTGGGTGGTGTATGAGTAGTGTTCAGGACATTTTCATCGACAACAACTCCGATGCTCGGTACTGATGGTCCGATTATATGCTTTTCGATTTTGGGCAACTAGCAACGAGTTATTGCGTCTCGCACGTCATCTCGTATCTCGTACAAAGGAATGCATTTTATGGGGCACGAGACGGCAGCAGGCCTGCTCTGTATCAGCCAATCATGAGGGGTGCTGACGTGATTAGCCGGTTACTGTAGTCCGTAATCAAATAGGCTATCGCGTGTCGCTTGATTCTGACTATCAGGACTGCAAAGCTCCCTCGCAGAGACAACAGGGGTAAAAAAAAATCTCGGACCCATGAATGCCGTCAGCGAACGCAACGTGAAAGGAGGGTCTTTCGGTCATCTGACAAAGGTCAAAGGCCACATAGTTTGGCAATTCAGTCAGCCGACCATGATCGATTGCGACATAGCACATAGCTTTGTAAGAACCTCTGTATCTTCATGCGCGATCGATCGATACCTTTGACTTCTTTTGAGCCCTCAAACGAGACTCCTCAGTTGGCGGCCGATCCCAACCAGATCATCAACAATCGGCTACAACGTGGTGATCGTCACTTTATAGCGATGATGATCCGTTTGGGTAGACATGTTTGCTGAGAATTATCGACAGGATGAAAAGGTTTTGCCCATGATCTACCGAGAAGATGTTTTCTCTCAACAACCTTATAAATCAGGACTGATACCGCAGATCGTGTCATCAGGTCAAATTTAGTATGTCACAGCAGCTCATCAAGCCAGTAGAGATTGTGAGCGTTAACGACCGTCGCCCGATAGAATAAGTTGTCTTTCATCAACGCTGCTTCGAGATTCCCCATGAGCTACATGTTCTTGCGAATCGATTTAAATAGTCATGTCACATAGATACAAGGGATCCCAGCCAAGTATGGGTGAGGAAATAACCGTCCATCTCGCTCAAGATGTCTGCTTAACCAATTCCCCACCTTCAATCAGGCCGTACCCAATATAACGTGGATTCTCATTCCCTATCCACATCTCGGGAATTCGGATGCACCAGATGGCCCGTTCATCATGACTTCTCGCCGTCTTGACCTGATCACCTTGTGCTATGCAAGCATCCTCATGTATCTTGAGTATCGCCGCGGGTGCGGCATTCAGTAAATGGGCTACGAATGCTCGCTCCTGCAATCGATCGACCAATTTTTGCAAATTTGAATTGTCTGGTTGCGTATGTAGAAGGCGAACATCGTAGTATTAGTCCGGGCCAAACCGGAAATCACTACCTCCTGTGGCACAAGGTCCTCAAGTTGGATCTTGTAAGGAGACTTTGTGTACCGTGGCCGTTCAGTTCGGCTAAGGTGCGTAACATTGTAATGCCGTTTCAGTTGTTCGATGAACTCTTCCCGGAGCCGCTGCTTCTCTGCGTCACCAGAGGTATCATCCTTCCTCTGAAAGATTTTCATCTCGTGAAGCAAATCACGGAGAGGTTCGGAAGGATCATTCTACGAGACGTCATACTTCGATTAGCGGAGTGATTACTGTAAAAGAAGATGTGCGCTTACCTGGACTTGATTGACTTTGATCTGTGCGACCTCAGGGTCAGCTGCATTTGACCCCTCGGACCAGTCCATAGCCGAAGGAACAAGATTTTCGGGAAAGGTCTCGGATGTTTGCGAGTACAGGGTGGTTCTGGTGGTTCTTGATTGGGAGGCTGGACTCGGATCACCCAGTCTGGCGTCAGACGCTACAAACGTTGGAGGGACGGTATGGATCGACTCGGTGCTAGCACTGTGGTTGGTCAGAGCCATTGAGTTACCGGCCGGGGTCTCGGTAGACGATAGCGGCAGTTCTTCATCGTTCGAGCGTCTGATGGACTTCCCAATTCGAGATACCGTCTCACGCAGGCCTTTCGAAAAACCGCGGGGCATGTCTGTGATGAGGATGAGGCTAGTCGATCGAAATGCAGAGGGATTGTTGAAAACTCGCGCGTTTGGTGCCGGACAAGAATTTAATTCGGCAGTACAATGGTCTGTATATATGCTCACTGATCCGCCGTCGACACTTGGTGCTTCTCGCACGCCATCCCCTATCGATCAGAGGAGTATTCTCCGCTGGTCACGCGACCAAGGCTTTTTGTGATCGCGCGTGACCTCGAGTATAGTGAGCCGAAAGCGTCAACTCGCCGCGACGTGTTATGTCCGTCTCGTCGCGCGCGATATATTACCATGTCCGCTTCCGCGCGAGAGATATATTACCAGCCGTAGCGATCAGAGCGGTTGGAATCACAAAAAGCAGCTCTTCGTCCCAGTTTTTGTTAGATTGGTATGAAGTTATCTCGGGCCCAGAGGGGGCGCAAGGCCTATGCCTGCCTCAGGCTTTGCCTAAGTCTACCTCAGACCTACTTCGACAGTCCTAGACATATACTTGATCGATGTACAGCATATCCTAGCCTTACACAAACATGCCCGATCACAATCCCGATCCGTACGAGGCCATTCAAGCTGCCGTCGACGCCTACGTCGAGGAGGTACATACCCCTATCCTTGCACTGCTCGCCTTACCATCAGCGGATCGGGATCACAGCCTCCTACCTCCGTTCATACACCAACTAGATGGTCTCGTTACCTGGCTGACGGCCGAAGCTAGGGGCAAATTACCTATGCAAGTACTGCGTAATCACTGGCAGGCAACACTTAGCCTGCGTGAGCAACTTGCCGCTGTACACCAAAACATCTTGAACAACGCTCCGACCCATCTCTCCAGGCAAACCGTCGCTCTGCCAACTGGTGGCTATAGCCTGGCCTTGAACATTCCTCTGTTCCAGCAGCTAGATCAAGAGGGCTTTACCGACCAGGAGATAGCCGAACACTTGGGCTGTTCTCGAAGTACTGTTCGCCGACGTCGACTAGCATTGGGTGGGCCATCTAAACGGGAAGCCAAGCACCAAGTGCCGGAGGAAGTCATTCAGAAGGTGAGTACCTGACCCAGTATGGCTTAGTATGCCGATCTTTATATTCGCTTGACTGAGTTCATATGCCATGCCACAGCATATACAAGATTGTTTGAATAGCCAAGACGGCATCATGGTCGGCTATCGCAAACTGCAAGGCTATCTTGAAGGCGTGGGTGTGCACATCACCCGAGAGCATGCAAGAGAGCTAAGCAGGGCTTTAGATCCGGAAGGTTCAAGGCTACGCAAGTCAGTCATGCGTAAACGGCGGGTGTACAAGGTCCCGTTCCCGAACTCTCTCTGGCACATCGATGGTCAGCACAAGCTTATACGCTGGAAGTTTGTTATACATGGAGGCGTCGATGGGTACAGCCGAGTCTGCGTATTCATGCAAGCGGGCGATAACAACCGGGCCGAGACAGTAGAGAGGTTGTTCCTTCACGCCACGGATGAATGGGGATGGCCTCAACGGGTACGGGTAGATTTTGGGAAAGAGAACTACGGCATTTGGAAGCAGATGGTAGCCATTCGAAGTAAGCACACTAGGCTGTGACTAGCTTAACCGCCCGCATATGCACAGGCTCATGGGCCTTCCTGCTTAGATACCATCAAAGCACCCTTCATCCGAGGCAAATCGACCAGCAACACCCCAATCGAGCGTCATTGGAAGGAAGTTGGGGAAAAGTTCACGCACAAATACTCAAGAACATTTGCCGACCTTGAGTTCAGAGAAGAGCTCGACCCCGACAACCCAGTCGACATTTTCTGCCTACACCATTGCTTCTTACCCCTGCTGAACCTGACCATCCGCCGACATGTCCTTGCGCATAACCATCACAAGAGCACGACCTCTGGTGAACGTGGATGGAGCCCACGCAAGAAGTGGCTTGATGGCATGCTGAAGGCTAGAGCTCGAGGGATGGATCTTGATCTTTTCCCCGCCGACGCTCTTGATGATATGGGCATCATTGACGAGGTGCTATCCGGGGACGAAGAAGACGAAGGTGTAGACGGAGACGGGCCAGGCTCTGCCAGACGCAGGCCAGGCGTACTAAGCTGGGTATCGGAACAACGGCAAGAAGATCTGTCACAGCCTGAACGTGAAAGCGATCCCTATGTCGAGGTCGAACGGTATCACGAGCTGTTACCACCGCTGCTACAAGATCCAGGCTTTAGGAAAGCGCTCAATCAACATTTCCCGCCCCCAACGGAACACTCTGCCGAGGAAGGTGACGATGGCCTCTTCAATACCCTGCAATACCTTGCCGTACGGGAGTGGGTTCATGACTGTATCTTGGCTGACGAGTGATGTAGCCAATGGCATAAGCGTATGTTTGTTTTGATTTGATGGCATACGAAAAGAACAAAAGAACCTCTCGACGTGTTCCATCATCAGTAAACAAAGACGTGGCATGGGCCTAGGGGGTAGGTAGGCCCATGCCACCGACGCACTTGATATATCTACATCACCTTCTCATCGATTCTTACTTTACTATCACATCTGTCTATACGTCTATACTCTAAACGCAAACACTTAAATCGACCTCGTCTTTATCAAACTCTTTGCATACATTTTCAAAATGGAGAACAACGAACAGCCTTTGCCCGTTTTTCCCGGCGGTTGTAAGTCATAGCATACCTTTAGCATACCTTTCGTACGCCAATAGGTTCTGAGAGTCTTAGCTTACACCTGGGTCTTTGTGTTCTTGTCTGACCTTACCTTGCACAGCGCTTGAAGATTATCAAGTGTGGATGACCGAATTGACGGACGAGCAGAGGGCGAGGTTCAACGAGGTGAACGAGAGTAAGCCCTTCCTTTGACTACGCCTTCCCCGTCCATATCCTTCCGCTGTTGCTGCTTGCATATGCTGATACCTTCGCAATCATTTCTTGTGTGTAGGGGCACTCGAGCAGCGACGTCGGGAGGCCGCGGAAGAGGCTGCGGAGCAGCGCCGGCTGGCCGAGGAGGCCGCCCACCAGGCCGCTCTTGAGCGAGCCCAACGAGAGCGGGATGCTCTCGCTACTGCAGTAAGTTACATGATCATCTCACTACTATTCTCTCGATCTTCCTTGCCTATACCAGACTGATTTCTTATCATGCCTGACGTATAGAGGGCCCAGATCAGGACCTTGCTCAACGTCCCGGCTCACCAGGCCTTGGTGAGGGAGATGTTGGCTGCGGAGGGGTGTAAGCTAGGCGTGTACGGGTCTAATACTTCATCGAGTATAACTGATTTATATGTTTTCGTGTTGAACTCTCAGTCACTATCACCCCCATCCGCTCCACCCGCCCCCCGCCTCCCCCTCCTGCCCCTCCCGTCCCTCCCCTTCGACCCCTCCGGACCGGGCAAAACCAAGGCCCAAACCCGTTCCTCGGCCGTGAGGGTGCAGGTGCAGGTGCGGGTGCGGGTGCGGGTGCGGGTAGCCCCACCACCGAGGCCAGGATGACCAGCTTGCTGGACAGGCTGGAGCTGGTGGTGGGGTCCGACGAGGTGAGGACGCCCCGCCGAGGGTCGAAGAGGCCCGTGGCTCTCGACGAGTTCGATGGGTACGACGACGACTTCGACCTCGTCGATTCGCCCTCTCCGAGCAAGAGGCGGAGCCGGAGGCTGTCGCCACGCATCCCGCCCCATGAGGGGTTTCAAATGCCTAAGTTCAAGCCGGTGACCTGGTCCAACAACCGTTGGGCCAACGCGATAGCAAGTCACGTCAAGGCTGATAGATTAGTTGACAAACAAATACTAACCCCATCGGTCTTTCATCTTTGCTATCCCTTGCAGGCCGCCGAGGCCCTGTACAACGATCCCGGGCCGCCTTGATGATCGACGGTGACGAGTGCAACGTCTGTTGTGGGGAGACACGCCCACCCCAAGAAGACGATGCGCTCATGATTGCCATGAACGAGAGGTATTCGGAGTGCTCGGTCATCCCGGGTAAGGAGGGCAAGTGTTTGAGGTGCATCTGGCGTAACGGCAAGAACTGCCAGTATGTCACTCACCCTTGGTACTCGTCTCGCCGAGAAGCGAAGCCTACGAGCACCCAGCTCAAGGCTGCTGCTCGAGGTGGGCGAAGGAGGTAGTCGGGCCTCTTTTTTTTTTATTTATACATGTATTTTCTTTTTTTAAATTATGTTTTTATCTATACCGTTGCGGTCTACAAGTACAAAGGTCTACGCATTGCTAGATGAGGCCTCGTTGTGGCTTCGGAGTCTGCGACGTGCATGAGCAATGCCGCTTTTCTCTGGAGAAGACTTAGACCTTGCCCTCTTGTTGCCAACCGCAACTTCGACCCCAGGCATAAGTGCTGGCTCTTCAACTACGCCTGGCTCAGATAGCCTAGACTCTCCGTCTTGTTCTACGCCGTTGAGATGTGTGCCTAACTCCCAGTCGACTACAACCTCTTCCTGAGCAGCTTGCGTTGATGGTATGGCAGGTTGATCCGAAGGTACACCTTTGGCCACCATCACATGCATATTGAAGTTTTCTCGGCCATGGTCTTCGATAAATTGAACGCATATGGCCCGAAACTGTTCCGGTGTCAGCTTTGTCTTCAGCAGATCTGTATATCAGACGCAAGGTGTGAGCAAACTATATTGTACCAACGCTAGCTTGAGTACTGACCCGATATGCTTGGGCCTTGCGGTTCAGGCGTTCCCCCCACATCACTCACGGCCTGGAAGTCTTCAGTGATCTTGCCCAGGTTTTCGTAATCGTCGATCGTGATGACATCCCGATCGCCTGGGTCTGTGTCGAGCGTGTTTTCACGCTGAACGGCGTCTAGATCAACGACCCCTTCTGGCTCCGATTCTGAGCTCTCCACCTGGTTCAGGGCAATAGCCTTGGCACAGCTGGTGACATGCCACTCTAGCCGGTCCGTAGGGTATGATCTGCCACAACCTGGGCATGTCGGATCTGCCATAGCGATCTCTAACGCTTCTGCATCGCGGTATCGCTGTTCCTCCCGGTCTAATTCGGATGACGTCTCGCGTACGGCCCTTCTCTTTCCCTTCTTTGCCTGGCTCAAGGGAGGGCCCATGGGGGTCTTGGGTAGAGGTTGCCAAGACACAGGATCACGGCTGATTGCTTGAGCAACAGCACGCCGAAAGCCTGAGTGGTGCTGGGTCTCCCAAGTCTCCGGAATGATGCAGATGAACTGCGTGTCGAGGCAACGCGCACGGAGATTGTCGAGGGTCGTATCCCAAGGTGAATACACAGCGGCAGGGTTGAGACTCTGTGAAGCCGGTTGAAGGAAGGCCCAAGACCAGAGGCGGGGTAAAGGTCGGCTTGATTTGAAGATCGTTTCAACGTGTTCAACCATGTCTTTCGCGCTCATGTGGGCCTTGAAATGGAGAGGTTGCATATAGCCAGCTGTAGACAGGTACTCCTTGGTACCGGCCCATTTGCTCTTGAAGATAGAAACAAGGGTCAACTTGTCTCTGACAAAAGAACCGTCTGGGATATAGATGTTAGGTTGCCAGCAACCTGTGTGTTCTCCGGGACTTGCGTAGGGTAATAGGTAGATAAATGAGTGTGATAGCAGATGAATTACATATTACAATAGTGATCGTAGTAGTTAGACATTACCTATCGTATCATATAAGTACCTGCTCCGCCGGAGTTGCTGGCGGAACACCCGTTCGGATGTACGTGATAGTCGCACCGCGGATGGCTATAACAGGATCCCCCCGTTAGGACGAGATTCCAGATCGTCTCGTGTCGTGTTTCACCGTACGTATGGTTCACCTCGTTCCGATAGGTAACCACCTGGCGTCAACTAGTGTTCTTTTGTTCGCTACGTTTCGAGCGTCGCTCGCCAGCACCTTTGTGTACCCGTACCGTCAATCCGTTTCATCTTAAAACGATTGCGTGGGCATCCTTCTTTCGTTTGTTCCGAGTAGTGTTTCAGCGTAGCTCGTCAGCCCTAATGCTTCCGTACGGTCGATCCGCCCTGTTCCTTCGAGTAATCGCCTGGCTAGCCTTTGTTCGTGTTTCCTAGCTCGCCATTGTGTACCACTTTGAGGTAACTCTTCATGACGTAGCGTTGTTTCAAGTATTGTTGCGATTGTTCTCTAACCGAGTGTATGTTTCTCACGCGTCGAGAGTCTCCGGGGCGACGCGTATTCTTTTGTTCCGAAAGAGTAAACAAAGACGTCATCAAAGGGTCCTTTGAATACCTTATTTGTCGATAACCAAGTTTGTCGACGTTACTAAGTAACGCCCAACCTCCTATTGTCGGGAGGCCTGTCGACCATGTTCTCTATTGTCTTCCTGTTCGTGATGGCTACTCGAATGAGGGGTATATAGCAGCTGAGTAGGGAGTGGTGCTTCGACTCCCCCTTGCGTGTTTGCTAACTCTAATTCGAACTCGTTTCTTCACTCGTCCGTAACTTTTACCTTCTCCGTACACTTCTACTCTCTCTCTATCGCTCAACATGTCCGCTCAAGGTACTCCCTCCAAGAAGGCCGAGCCCTTCGAGCAACTTCAGCCGAAGGGGTGGCGGTACCTCAAGAAGATGTCCGCCGCGACTAGTGAGTGGGGCTTCCGTTGCGGTCTTGAAGTTGGAACGGCGTATTGATATGTCCGTACGGACTGCGGTAGAGTCGACTCTCATTCAGGCCGAGAAGGTCAAGCCCAAGGTCGTCGACGTCGATCCGGAGGAGTTGGACCTCGCCTTTAGGCGAAACCAAGTGACTACGGTCAACGCGTTGGTCGTGAGTTATTCCGATTTGCAGTTCCGCCGGAGTTCTCCTTTGACACGTCCATATCCTTCTTCTCTAGGCCCAATGCCAGGGGGGTTGGAAGTTCGCCTGCCAACCCTGCTTCGAATTGGCGACTACCGGGAACCACCGCGCCCGAGTCGACGGCGAATGGGTCGACTGCATTCGTGTCAGCCAAACGTGGTTGTGCAGGCACGTCCTCGCTACTCCGGGAGAGACCTCCCGCGCTTCCTCCTGCTACTTGTGCAGGGTCAATGCAGGCCGTCCCTGCACCCCCATGAACCCCGGCGTCGTCACGGCTTTCCGACACGACATCGGAGTTCGACACAGGGTTCGCGCCGGGTTGCTGTACATCCAGGATCCTGCGGTGTCGCAAAGGAGTGTCGGTATGGTTGCCCGCGAGGTGGCCCGTTTGCAAGAGAGGATGGCGAGTACCCCCCTTATCTCTTTTCTATTCTCTTCTCCGATAACCTTCTCCATATTCTTCTCCGAGGGAGCTAATATCCTGCTTGTGTTCTTGTCTTCTTCATATCGTAGCTCTTCCCTCATATCCCCGCTCCTTCCGTCTTCCACGTGGAGCACGAACTCACCGCTCGGTTGGCCGCCCAACACGCTCCGAACGCCGTCCCCGCCGGCTTGGTCGCCACCGACGTCAACGTCGACCTCGACATCGCCGGTTCCGATGTCGTTACTCCCGGTTCGCCTGCGCCTACCATCGTCGAGGGAGAGGACGTGGAGGACCTCGATCTCGAGGACGACCGTTCGGACGACGAGGATACCAGCATGGGGGACGGGAGCGACAGCGAGTCGTCGAGCTCGTCCGGATCCTCGACTTCGGGGTCTTCTTCTTCGGAATCTGGTTCGGGATCTGGGTCGGGGTCTGGTTCGGGTTCGGGCGGGGAGTAATTGGCTGGGTGATTTTCTTTTTGTACGGTCGTCTCTTGTAGCCGAGTACATTTGTACTCGGGATAATAAATTTTTATGCCGCTCGGAAGTTCTCGAATCGTTCTCCGCCGGAGTTGTTTTTGGATATTGTCGTTCTCTCTTTCGCTGACAATAGTTTGAGGTAATTGCAAAACGTTATTGCTTGTAGTCGTGTTGTACGTGTGGGTGCAAAGGTTTTGCTCGGTAGTAGCAGTGAATGGTGAATAAAAATAAAACATCAAGGGACCTGCCCTTGGTAAATACATGATCGTCGCGCACAAGAACCCTTACGTAGACCAAACTCGATAACCTGTTCCCTCGTTGGCGGCGTGGTCCCTGTCGAACTGCTCATCCGTCGGAGCAGTGCTGGGAGAGTAGGTAGCTGCAACGCGAAGGTCTCGTTGCTTCTTCATCCGGTCCACGTACCACTGCGGCTTGGGCACCAACGCAGGGTTTGTACACTCCCGAATAACGTGTCCCTTCTGGAAACAGTTATAACAGGTGACATCCCTGTACTTGGCCGCATCTACCTCCATGGGGACAGCTCCCGAAGCGGATGCCACAGGGGCTTGTACGGGAGCGGCGACTGGCACTACCGCAGGAGCGGTGTATCGAGGGGTGTAAGTGTTGTTTCGCGATGTGGTGTTACGATGTTGTGTTTGAGTATGTCCAACCTTCTCCTCGTACTTCGCGCACTCCATCTGGAACTCGTAGAGGGTGCACTTCTCCTGGTTGGGGATAGGGACGATGGCATCCCTCCACGCCTGATTCAAGTGTGCTCGGAAAAGGAGTTTCCTGCAGAAGTCGTTCAACTCCGGAATGAGGTTGGCCATAGCGTTGAACTTGGTAATGTACTCGGAGATCGACAGATTCCCCTGTCGGAAATCGGCGATCTCCCTCTCAGTTGCGGCTCTCCTTACCGCAACTCCAAAACGAGCCAGCAACCCGGCTTCGAACTCCGACCATGTGGTCCAGGCAGTTCCGAAAAGCCAGGGGCGAGCCCATTCCCTCGCGGCGTCCCGCAAGTAACTACCCGCGAACACGATCTTCAACTTGTCATCGTGGTATGCGAGGGGTTCCGCCATGAAGCGTAGGTTACAAGCATCTAAGAATGCTTGTACCTCTTCCTTCTTCGACCCATCGAAGGGTTCGGGATCGCTCACCCGGATAGCCTTGGTGTAAGGCTGTACGGGGACAGAGGGGCGAGAAAACGCCGGAGGAGGAGGCGAGGGGACTGCGTTGACGTTAACCAATCCATCCACCTTTGCCATCAACCTTTCCAAGGTTGAGTTCATCCTCCCGACGTCATTCGAGAGGGAGATGGTGCTGACAGCTGGTCGGTCGGCACTCAAGAAGGAGGAGAACACCTCGTCTCCTTCGCCGGTGTTACGGACCCATAGAAATCCGCCGGCGCTGTCTCGATCTTGAGCACCTCCCGTGCTCCGCACCGGTTCCTTGTAGCCGGCTACCGTGATAGGGTTACCAGCTACGTCGTACACTACCCTGTCCGGAACTTCTGCCCGTTCTGTGGCTTCGGTTTCCATAGTTGCAAGTCGGGGAAAAGGAGATGATCTGCTATTCTGTTAGGTTGCCAGCAACCTGTGTGTTCTCCGGGACTTGCGTAGGGTAATAGGTAGATAAATGAGTGTGATAGCAGATGAATTACATATTACAATAGTGATCGTAGTAGTTAGACATTACCTATCGTATCATATAAGTACCTGCTCCGCCGGAGTTGCTGGCGGAACACCCGTTCGGATGTACGTGATAGTCGCACCGCGGATGGCTATAACAATAGACCACCTGTGTAAACGATCGAGGGCAAGTTAGTTGACGTGTGGTATCACTACGGAGGGCCCACGAAGCGTACGCGTACTGACCATTCCGGTTTTGCAAGCCTTGACGTCCTTGCCAGGTTTCTTGGGAGGACGAGAGGTCTGCTGCAGAGGATGACCTCCAAAGGCGTAGCCCTCACCATGGCCTCGTTGCTTGAAGTTACCAGCACCTGCAGACCTTATACCCTCTGCGCGAATGAAGGGCGTAGTCTTGTTGGCTTGTACCAGTGCATGAGCTCGTCGAGCAAGGTTGGATGGGCCGACGTCTGGTGAATCACGAGTACTACGGGCCTGAGTCGACCTAGGTGCATATCCAGATGATTCACCTCGGGTTGGTTTGTGTCTGGGCAGAGGGGGAGGGGTAGCTTCTGGGTCTTCGGGGTCGTCTTGCTCTCCATCCCATGAGTCCTCTTCGGCCTCGTCTTCGCTATACACGGGCTGGGCTGGAGCTTTCGGTCGTCGGTATGGCTCAGGGATGACATGAAGGCGGCTCGATGTTGATGTATCGGGAGCAGGTTCATCTGCAGGTCGATTAGGGGCTACCATCTTCATGATGAGAGCTTCAAGGCGGTCGAGTCGAGCGGCGTCAGACATTTTGAATTGTATAGTATAACGTGGTGTGCTAAGGGCGAAGGTACAAGAGGTGCTAGATGTAACGGTGTGGAGGATAGAGTATAGATATGGGTATAGGTATAGGTGTACGTCTGAGGGCTAGGTCGAGGTGTACGCCGTGACGAGAGGTCTGGGCCCGAGATAACTTCATACCAATCTATCAAAAACTGGGATGAAGAGCTGCTTTTTGTGATTCCAACCGGTATGATATCGCTCGCCAGCACTAGTAGCGGTAAGATATCGCGCGAAATGCGAAATCGCATAATATGCGTTTTTCGCGAGTTGAACCAAACCGCCCGGTATACTCGAGAGGCGCGAAATCACCTCATCATACCTATGGCGCGATGGACTGATCCACCTTTCTTCCGGCGCAGTGCACTCTGAGTTTTATTACTTCAGGGAAGATTTGTCAAGGGCTCGAAATAATGGATGGCGTGGCTGATCGATTATATTCGCAAATCGCAGACAACGCTGATGCCCACTCGAACGAGATGTGGTTAGCGCGCGCTTGTCCGCCTCCTTGCGCGGTCAAGTGAAACGCACCTCGATCCCTCGTCCCCGATCCCTCGGTGCCCAGTTTCTAATAAGTGAGGCTGCGCCGTCACAGTCAGATGGCAATGGATGCGGTACCGGATCTATGGATTTCTACGTGGTGATGAGCGAACAAGGCGCGAAATCGACGCCAAAGGGATGAATGCCTGTTGATCGAAACCCCTTTAATATGGGTTTGTGCCAATCATCAGCATTTCTCCATTTAGCATAACTTCCTGACAGCAACATGTATAGATCTGCACCATGTAGGAACAAGAAAATAATCTATCGCACAACTACATGCCAATGTGCTGGACGAGACCGAGGTACCTACAAGACAGGAGTGACTAGATTTCGCATAGCCCATAAAATGTGTAAAAGTCGGTCTCGAAAAGTCCAATAACAGGGTTCGAAGCTGTGTACATCAGCCATCCGGAGCTGTCGCTCTGGCCGAAGAACTTGTGCACTTGCCTAGCCTCGCCGTCCTCTAGATATCCCTGTACTGTGGACAGCTCGGGTCTTTGGACCTTCATGATTATGGCCTGGTCCATAGCAGTGTGCTTGCCCTCTCGGTATTCCTTGCTGAGGTTCGTGCAATTTCGTCCCATCTCTATACTCAGAAAGAACATCACGCTCATGAGATCTCTACCACGTCCTGCTTCATGCAGGCTGACCCGGTTGAAGGTGACCCCCATGGGTCCGCCGCCGATTGTGGTGTTCATGACAATGCTCTTCATCGAGGTGAATTCTTCACGTGACTTCAAGACGACAGCCATATCTTCTGCATCCTTGGCAAATGCAGGCCAGCTTTTCCTTATCTTGTCCTCGTGGAACATCTGTGGAACCCGGTGAGGGATCGAGATCAAGGTGTCAAAAAGGTCAGCCATAGGATTGGGCTCGTGCCGAGTGGTATGGCGTGAGGTATTATTGGTGATGGAGGCTGTTCCCGAATGACTGGTGGAGACATCAGACTGTGTCCGGCTCCGGCGCGATCCCGGCATATTTTGAGAGGACTCGTCACCTCTGGCAGTGGATTCGAGCCAACCTGCTATTTCTCCATTGTCGTTGTAGAGAGACCGGGTAGGCATGTTCACAAGAAGTTTCAATCTATTGCGGATTATGATGAACGTCCGTTGACTGACTCAGCCCGGAAAACTTGGTTTTCTCCACTCACTTATATACTCGTTAAGAATCTAGATCAGGATTCTCGCACGTCATCGGAGGGTGAAAGGAAGGCTCGTTCAAATTACGTGACGTCAAGCAACGCCGCATAAACGCCACAAGTGGCGCTTGGAGTAGCAGCAGCGGAGATCGATTGAAGGGCGCGCATGTTACTCAACGTGTCCTTTCGTTTCACTTTTCCCAGAGCGACGTCTGCATGTCATTGTTCAAAGAGAGGTAGGTTGGAGCACAAAATATCGACCTCAAGGATCATGGAAGCGTCAAGTTCTTCCAGATACGTTTCTCACGCCGGATAGCTTGATAAGATCATGATACAACATGCGAGATCGCCTTGAGAAAGGAATACGTGCTACGAGACAGGGAGTTGTGTCACGTGAGGAGAAGACTATGTATGTTTTCGCTGATGAATCGCCCATGCTTATTCAGAAAATTTCGTCCGAATGCTCCTATCGCCTGTCATCCTCGGACACCTGGAGAAACAGTTGAGCGTACGACGAACATAACATCATTGTCTCCTCATGGGTTTGACGAATCGATCAACCCATAGAATTCGTACTTCCCATCAAGCTCATTCCCATATCGGGCGAAAGCTCTTTTCCAAGCCGCGGTTCCGCCTGCAGTTTCGCAGAAGCGAGTACTGGTTGTCCTCGACCTCCGCATGTCTGTCAGCATATCTCTCAAAGCTCGTCTGCTGAAATCTGCTGGATTCCGGACCCTGATATGATTGATATCCTGGTCGAGGAAAGTGTGTTCCCTCTCCAATGACTTCCTGAGTTCGCGTCGCACTTGAAAGTCCGCTACAGTTATAGAGAAGTAGACACTGATCAGGTGGCTGTCACTGTCAATGCGACCAAAGGTGGCGGCAAGACCTTGGTTGAGAGTTATATTTCGGACCATACGCATGAGTTTGCCTGACTTGTATTGATCGCTGTTGCGTCAATCCTCATACATCTTGCGATATCCGGCCACTGTGGCGTGCCATTGGCCGGGGTTGTGTTGGTCGTTGAGAGGTATCCGACACATGTACCTGAGCATCAACAGCCCAAAGAAATGGTCCGCTTCGAGAGTACTCTTGGTACCACCCTTTCCGTCCAGCTGATCTATGGGTACCGCTGAACCGGGTCTCATCGCTCTTGGCCGAGGCGATCTCACTCGATACGTTAGGAAATGACATGGCCTGTGCTGTTTGTGTTTCACTTTGAAGACCCTGCGTAGGGTCAATATAGTCCATGGAGCCGTCCTCGCTGCTGACAGATCCAGTATTCTTGGAGAATGAGCGCAATGACCCGGCGAATAAGCGATATGGCCAACTATTCACGGAGATAGATTGTAAGATGGCCGTGTTGAATGCGGCGAATAGCAATCATAATCGTTATCTCCCTCGGTGCTTATGTACTCTACCCCTTCTGTGGCGAAGGCCAAAAGCTTTGCTTCCTCCATCATGGATGGCTTTGGTCAAAGGAATGTATCCAGGGGTAATCAGGGAATCAGGTGGCATTCATCATATAGGAGCGGCGAGTTGTGGTCTGCGATATGCCTTTCGTCCGCTCATCCGGCATCAGACGAGGAGCCTTCCATTGTCTGTCACCTCGGCGGCTCGACAGATCCGCCTTAGCACGCTTGGTCACATCTGAAAGTTGTGATAATAATTGTCTTGACGCCAGTACCATTACCCTTCATGGTGCGATCGGTCGCAAAGACATCTTTGTTAGGAGCCTCACGTGTATGCGGCAGTTTTGTTGTGCTCGTAGCGGACACCATTGCTCCCCTCAACCACGTCGGACTGAGCATAAAAGTGACGAGAAGCACGCCGGCATGATATGCGCAGGCAGTTAGACAGCTGCATGAACTGACCAAGCGTGATCAATCGTGTGTCTCTTGTCGACTGTTTCCTGCCGATGCGGCGCGAGTGACCAAGCGAGGTGGGATTTAGTTATCCCCATCATCTAACAGGATTAGGGGTTACTGCGCACTTTACAGTAGAATCCGGCATGCCTCGACTCGAGCACATCGGAAATTTCCTTCATGTACTGGCAAAGACTGGTCCGAACCCCAGGCTGGCGAAACGGGTTTGAGGTTGTTTGTATGCGATAAAGTTGACAGGAGTAGTCTGGCACGACAAAGACCACGAGGATATGAGAAACAAATTCGGTTCCTTCCCCCTCATTCTCTACAACAGTATAATCGTAAGTGCACCCATCCCTTGACAGCAGACCGGGTGAACTCCTCCGCTCTGTGGCGACGGGGCGGTGCCTTGGTTGCAATCGAGTTTGCGTCCGGGTTGGTATCTCTCTCATCAGTCGAGCCAGTAAAGTTAGTCGAGTAGGAGGACATCGTGTGGTGCTAAAACAATTTCTATAGTTCTTGGGTTGGTGGAGGAAAAAATGATATATGTCGGATTCACAAAGAACTGCATCAGAACAAGGAAGATCTGGGCTCAATATATATAGTTACGGTCAGCAGTCAGTACATAGACTCCGCTTCTCGCACGTCCTCGTGTCTCGCACGCCATCCTCATGGTCTCAAAGGAAAACATTAGGGGAACATCTCGCGATCGAGGTGAGACGGTGTAGCAGCACAGGGGCACAAGGCTAACATGGCGTACCCACTATGATGCAACACGATGTGATCCCTTCGTCGGGACTTTGCCATGTGTGGTCGCACTTCGAATACCTCTTCCTCCTCCTCCCTCTTCCCTCGCTCGTCACCATTGAATCGCTGGTCTGACGTGATGCGATCGCGCCTGTTGTTGACGTTCGGTATAAGTCTGTCGACCTTTACAACAAGGTGGTGTACGCGCCTCGAGTAGGCATGAATCGAGCCTTTCTCTCGAGGAACATTAATTTCTAACCCCTAAATATTTTATAGGGACATACATGAGGAGACCTCTCGATCTGGACGGTTTGGAAGTTTCCCTTAGAATCGCAGGAGGCTGACTTTTACCGATACAGATCTGAGCATTTGATCCGTCTTTACCGGCACCGTGAAGAAGTCCGCTCGGTCTAGCCGTTGTATTATTGAGACACAGCAATATCTAAGGAATCATGATCCGAGCGTTATCGTCGACTACACATATAGTACCAAATTCTACCTAGCAACATCCGGTCTGGGGATGTCGGAATGAGTCGCGCAGGCTCAAGGGTCCATTAGATTTTAACGGGCTCCCAATCCTCCTCGAGATCCTCTCGCGCCGACCGCTTGATCCTACGGCACTCACCCTCATCATCATTGTCTAATTCGGAATCGGAGGCTGTAGCATCCTCATCGACACTGTTCAGGTCACGATTGGAGGCTGTATCAACACCTTTGTGCGCAGGGTCGCCTGAGGGATCGATCACCCCGTAGAACAGGTACAATCCATTATGCCCTTTTCCCCACCCGCTAATCCGCCCAAAAGCTCTCCACCAGGCTGCGCTACTATCTTCCGTCTCGTGAATCTGAACAGTAACGTCGGGTCCTTTGTCGAGCTTCCCCAGCGTCTCTCCAAGGGAAGCTACCTTGACCTGAGCCTGGACACTCGTGAAGCTCTCGTCGAAGTCAAGGTGCATCTCCTCGTGAAATTTGGGACACTCAGGTCCTTGGATCCTGTCATCAAACACGTCCATGCGGAAGTGCACGCTCACCAGGCGGTTCTCAGGGCCGGTACAACAAAAGCTGATACGTGATTTCAGGCCGAACACAATGCGAGTATCGGTCGTGCACCTGTAGAACCCGCCTTTGTATTCTTCGCTGGTCAAGTAGTTTTCGTACTCGGTCTTGAAGAACGTAACCAAACGCTGCCATCCCTTGGCTTTCTTTGATGCTTTGAGAGACGGGGGGCACAAGTCCTTTGCAATCAAGAGGCCAAACAGATTGTCATCGGCGACAGTGGCTGTGACATCTGCCTCGATGGATTTTTTAGACAGACGCGGATCATTGCTCCGGAACGAGAAACTGCTTGGTCCTCTGGTGAAGTCTGAGTCGGATCGTGTCTCAGCGGTAGGCCGACCTGATCGTGCGCAGCTTCCGTCGACGCTGTGTCCACTGGGGTCTCTAGTCTCTTGGGACTGGTTGACCGTGTTGATGAAGTCTACCAAAGAATCAACGGTTTGCGCTTTAGGGTTGCTAGAGAATGGGAACATGATATTGTAGGGGTGGATGTAGCTTTTTTCTTCGGATCGTGAGATTGGAGATAATCCGATATGTTCGAGTTACACCATACCCCGCTCCGGTGTCTCACTCTATATAACAATCCCTTCAAGAGTAAGGATAAAGCCCTAGGCTATGCTCCTTGCTCGCCATTAAATCATCGTCAAAGGAAAGCGATCGCGCGATGAAGGTGAGACGTCCAGCGATACAGCCACATGCGACCCAGGTGGCGATGGCGTACTGCTGCGGAATCAGTATGATATATGACGCAACAACGGGCGTTCCTTTTGATGAAATCTTGTACACAAGGCACATCCCTCATCTTTGCGTTGATCACGCATGGAGCGGCAGACATGACAGAAGAACCAAGCAGGATTAGAGTTTTGGCTTTTTGGGGTGGTAAGCATAGCTACATGCGTGGGACCGAGTCCTATCCCATAACTATGGCGAATTTTCATTTGTTATTCTTGGCAAACATTCAGGAGTGATGCTTGTCGCACGCCATCATAGCCTAATGAAAGGAGGATCTGATCATTAGGCCGATCGCGTGCCCCGGTAGCAAGATGACACGGGAGCTGTAGGCCGCAGGCCCTACGTGCGATGAGACGGATTGAGGCAGATATAACGCTGCAATCTGTCATCTGACCTATCTGCTGATATTCAAGGAGGTAACAATTCCTGACAAAAGTACCAAGCCTATCTGGTGTTGACTTTGAGCCGATTGCGCTTCACATCAATATATGAGCGCTTGCTATCGGAGGAACCATTACTTTCGTCAAAGCACTCGAAGGGGTTTTCTGAATCTTTATCATGTGGGTAGATCGTGGGTAGATCGAGTGATGAAGGAGCAAGACGGGGACTACTAGAATCACATACCCCTATGATGTACAGTGTATCAAATCTTCCCCAAGGTCCTCCGACTGGCAAGGGCGGAATCGCAGTCACCGTAGGTATCGAGGCGTGGACTACGACGATACTTCACGTGATTCCTCCCAAAGGAAGACTCAAGCCCAAGATGGCGCCCACTTTCGGGCCAAGTATAGCTCTAAGCAGCAATGTATTGAACCGTAAAAAAGCCAATGCTACCAGCGTGACAGTAAATCCGTTTGAACACTGCTTGTGAAAATGGATACGGCTTTGTAGAATTGGCTCATGGTTATAAAGTGGACTTTCTAAAAACAACGAAACAAAACAGCTCGTCCCTTTCACTGCGCAGCGTATCCCCGCCTTGCCCGGCAACGACTACATCAACTACTTCTCATCCACATGTTGGCGGTCTTGCGATTCTGTTCATTCCATAGTCCTCGCCTGCTTCCCTCGAAGCTACACCTAGCTGCGTTTTGCCGCTGCGATTGCGCGCTTACGGATCTTTTCCTGCTCGATAACCCCATAGTACACAACAAGGTTGTAGCCATCGTACGGCGTGCAGGCCCTCCACCAGGCTGCACAGTCATCTGGGGTTGCTTTGACAACCACGCTGCCTTTCGTTGGTCTTTTGAACATTCCCAGTGCATCTCCGTTGCTTCCTGTGGCATTCATCCTGTGACCCAGGAAAGTCTCGTCGTCTTCTTTGTGCATCGCCTGGCGAACTCCATCACTACCTGCATAGCTGCCATCCGTGGTCAAGGTGAAAGTGAGAGTCACAAATCGACCTTCACCGTCAGGGCGACCAAAGCTGGCAGAGAAGGGCCCACCGAAGTACTGAGTGTCATTGGTCATTGACTTGTAGTGTCCAACTATGTACTCCAGAGTGGTCAGGTAACCCTTGTACATCTCATGAAGGTCTTTGACCAGGTTACCCCATTCGACAGACTCTGTTGGAGATGGCTTCAGAGCAGGCGGTTTCATGATCTTCAAGAGATCAAAGAAGGCCGCAAGGATGGAGGCTTCCTGATTCTCGGGTCGGTTTGAACCACCAGTCGTAGTGGTGGGATTGCTTTGAGACGAGTTGGACGAGTTGGTCGCGATCGAGTATGTCTCGCCACTGTTGTCGGTCACTTCGCCACTCTTCTTGGTCACTGGAGCGGTGTAGTTAGAGGAGTAAGACATGTTGAGTGCGTGCAGAAGGTTGTGCAGTTTTCGGCTCGATGATAGAAAGGATGAAAGATACCGTTGTATACTGTATACGACAGACTGCAGCAAGAGAAAGGGAAAAAGAAAGAAAAAAACGGCGGGATTATATAGCTACCTGGGAAGAGTACAGGAGTCAGTAGAGGCTATGCTTCTCGCACGCCATCATTTCGTCGTCAAAGGAGCACATCAAGCGGTGATCACGCCATCAAGGAGAAACGTTTCGGCGCGACATGGCATGCAGCATTCGGCCGAGATGGCATAGCCATGTAGTATGATGTGGGAGATGCGCGATCCTTTGTTTTCGAATGATGTGCGTTGTGCCACAGCCTTCACTCTTTCACTCTCTCCCCCTGCCCGCTATAGTAAGCTGTGAGACGTAATGAGGTGCGATGGGGTGATCCTGACTTGTCGCGAGAGAGAGAAGATGTGGGAAAGATCCAGATTGAGGTCCTCATTCACGAGCATCAGTTACACTGACTCGTTATGGATTGGGTGCAATTCGAGAGAGGTAAGACGTCCAGGTGTACGGCGTGCCATATGAGCACACCTTCAATATGGGGGTTTCATGAGCTGTTAGCTGTGCAAGTCCATGCTACCGCGGAGATGCAGTACTCGTACAAGCGTGAGCTTGTTGCTATGGGTTCACTGAGTGCTCCGTAAGGACAATCAGCAAAGTCAGTCATATCGTGGACAGCCCACAAGGAAAGAGTTGCAAGAAGATAGTGTCATGAAGGAGTCTGAATAACGTCCATGACGGAATGATAAGGGTAGCGAGATTCATTGTAACTGATTGAAAGCTACCCGCTGGGTCCGATTAGGGAGACACTCTCAGCCGCTTAAGTAATATCATGATCTGATCAGAAACAAAAACACATATCGATACCCCGAGACGAGTATACCGGGCGGTTTGGTTCAACTTGAAATTTCGCGACATCATACCGTTCACTGCCGCGCGATATCATACCAGTATACCAGAGCTTTTCACTGCGCAACATGAAATACCACATGAGATGGCAAGGGCGAGAAGTCCAACCAAGCGAGTTTCATGGTCTCCTAGAAGTCCAACCAAGCGTGTCAAAGGTTGACTAGAAGTCTAACCAAGCGAGATCATCACAAAGTAAACATAACACAAGTCAAGTTGCGACAGCAACATGACATGATCCCCCAAGGTACACCCTTAACTGACTGACCATGACTAGTCTGAGAAGGGTTTGGGATGTGGTACCCTGTCATATGACTGTCTGATAACTATCATGCTCGAAATTGCGCTCACAAGGGTGATTTAAGCTGTAATTTGCTGGTATCTGATGTTGCTCAGACAGAAGCTGCGGTATGATATCGCGTGGCACCCCAAAATACAGTGGTAAGATAGCTCGCGGTGAGTTGACACTTTCGGCGCAGTATAGACGAGGGGATGAGTCGAGTGAATACGACGATTCTGAGTTGATAGTAACAGTCCATGATGAAACGCGGCAATAATTCCTTCGATGTGAAGCTCAAATTTTCTGCTGACAGTGACAATGACCATCAAGTCTGGTTGATCACTTGGGTAGTACGTATCTTTGTTAGCAGTGCAGGGTTTCAAGAGGACCACCGAATCGCTATAATTCGCTGGGTTTAACAGCGCTTAATTACACACGGTGTCTACCATCCATCCTGACACGAGTTCCGCCGGGAGGTAGGGGCCAAGTCGACGGGTGAGCAATCAGAGGGACGATAGATGGCAGCTGGCGCGGAGTGGATCATAGTGTTGAGTCAATCAATTACGATCTGTTCTCGGCCAGTCATTGAGGAAAGCGATAACGGAAGGAATGACCATATGGCAAAAGTTTTGGCGCTCTGCCAAACTCGCAAGATCAGCGAAAAGAACTGCCACCCCAATCAGACTCGTTGGCGGAGGAGGGCGTCCGTGAGGCGCTAGCTCGAGCACCAGGCGTTTGCTGGAATGGCGAGCGCATTCCCCGCCACCAAGAGTCGGCTGGTGTTCCACCCAACTAACCTTGGCCCTTGGGATAGGAATTGTGCACAATATATCTTTAGAATCAATATGATTGGCAGACATGGTAGAGATAAGCGAAAGACGAGCACTTAGATGGAGTGGTCAGTCGATCAGGACCAAAACACTTCAGCTCGAGATGTATTTCGACAAACGTCTAACAGATAGTGATGTAGACCTTCTTCACCAGAATGGGGTGGCACAACCGTGGATCTAGCTAGACACACCTCATCCCTCCATCCCGGATACAGCTGACTCTCTCGCATCGTCTTCCAGTCCGTCCCAAGAGCCATCGGTCGATACTGATGAGGCAGACTCGTAATCTGACGCCTCCGATTGCTGAATGACTCCATAGTACAGTGTCATCTTGGAATTCGAGGCCGTGCACCATGCAGCGGTCTGATCTTCGAGCGCGATCACGTCGACGGTGGGGGGAGTGGCGCGGGAAGGGAACGGTATCTTTCGCAGCAGGTCCCCGATAGCCTTCTCCCTGTTATCTGACTCGCCACGATTAGCTTCCATCAGCTTCTTGTCTAGCGTTTGGTGATTACTTTGGAGTCCCTGAGTGGGATCCAAAGGCGCACAAGAACGGTGCTCCCCGTCCATCCTAAACAACAAAGTGACCAACCGCTTGTTGGTGCCTGTACGGTTGAAACTCGCTGCGAGCTGCTGTCCGAAGTACAAAACCCACGGGTGCGATTGCAATGTAAGATACGAATTTTCATCGCTCGACCCATTCCCTGTATACTCCGAGCTGGACAGGTAGCCCATGTACATTCTGCGTAGATGAGAAGATATCCCTTGCCATTGCCCTTCCGCAGTCGAGTATCCCTTGAGAGGAGCCGGGCACAGGTCTTGGGTTACCAACAACCCGAACAAATCGTCGATGCTGGGCCCGGTCGCAGGGTCTAATCGTATCGACTCATTGGTAGACGAGACGGAGTGGTCGCTCTCTACCGAGCGGGTCTCGATGGAAGGCGCTCTTTTGGTCTCGGCATCGTTGTTGGTGGCATCTGAGCCAACTTCACTCGAGCCGCTTGTGTGTGCGATTGACGCTGGTGCCTCTTGACTCGACTTGCCGATAATGGAAGCGAGGAAGGAGCGGATGGACATGCTAGGTGATGATTCGGGTGTCGATCTCAAGTTGATCGGGCATACTACCGTAATCAGTATTCTGGGGATAGGTGTTAAGGGAAGGTGGCGATTTATATATGTTAGATGCAGCTGAGTCTGAGACTTTGAATCCATGGGTCGAGTAGGCTATGCTTCTCGCACGCCATTATGATGCCATGAAAGGAGGGGACAAGGGGTTAACCATGGCGAGCGAGGTCAGGCTGGACGTTCAGTGAAACAGGCGCGGGCCACGCGGGCGATATGTATCACTGCAGTAACAGTGATAGTAACCCTTGATGAGCAACTCGTCGTGTGTCGCTCTTTTCGGGTCCTGGCTGTTCGATACTGATCACGTGCGGCAGGGGGCTTGCGTCTGTGTCTGTTCTCTAGGATAAGAATTGTGCAAGCGACCGGGCCATGCGCCTCAACCACAGGAAAGTTGTATCAAAGAACTGTCTTGGGCGGGCTGACATCCCCTTCTGACTCCACGTCGGGGATATGGCATCATCACCATGTTTTGCCACCCGGGACCATATCGCTATGAATGCATCCGCGCGCCTTACTCCGATTTGGGGCTTGATATGGCATTGGAGGGCGCCATCTGATCTTATATCAAGTCGGCGGGGATTTGCATGTATATGTGGATGCAGGGTCCGGACTGATTTTTGGTGGTGAGCCTCATACTATCTTGGTCCCCGCAGCAAGTCTACTCGGGCTAAGGGCGCCTGTTTCGCTCTACATCGTATAGACCGACAGGCCACAATTCTGCTACCCATACAAATCCCGTGGGACTGAATATATCGAAGTCGTATACCGGGTCACACCGAAGATGTAGCTCTTGTTGCGCGCCCGGCGATGCCGCAACCTACGGGGGACATTGGTAGGACAACTTACACAGATCCATGTTTTGGGAAGAGGATCGACCACTCAACAGATTGTGTCGGCCATATCGTGCCTTGCTCATGCGCTCCGGCCTTACAAGCGGACAACCTGTAGTCTTCGATCCGCAGGATAGATCGCCCATAGTCTCGACCTAGATCTCAATCATAATCGTCCCCATAGCTAACATTGGTAGAGAATCAAAGTCCTCCGCCCCGAAGCAATGCAATATCATTTAGCGTACAACATACGGATCTCCGAATACAGTGTGCTCATGTGGTTCTCAGCGACAATCTACAAACGGGATCGGGATGCTCTTCCAGTTCATCCTGTCTCAATCCTGCCATCTGTTCGTAGTCCCGTCTATCCCTCTATTTCTCAAGAATCTGGAGCTGTCGTTCTAATTTTCGTCATCGCTGTCAGCGCTGTCAGAGAGACTCTCGGAGGCGGTGAAATAGCCATCAGGTTCTTCCGATGCCGAAGGATCGATCACTCCGTAGAAAACGTATGACCCAGCGACCGTGAAACCTGAGGCGTTGACGAGGCCGTAATCTTTCCTCCACCAGGCTGTAGTAGTGGTCCCAGATACATGTGCGGTGCCCCCGGCTGCCTGGCATAATGCAAACAGTATCAAACCAAGAGATTCTTGTGGCTGGTCTTTGTGTTGACGCGTGAAGCTTTCGTGTTGACGCGTGAAGTTTTCGTCACGAGATCGGTGCATGTCCCACTGATGGCTGACAGACCAAGGGTCTCGAGTTCGAAGACCACGTCCTTCTGCAATGGTTACCAAGAAGCACACGCTGATGAAACGTTTCTTAACGCCAGTGGAGTTAAAGCTTAGTGTCGTAGTGAAGCCGCCGATGGTGATGGTAACAAAAGATAGTATCCGTTCGCTGTCCAGAAAGCACCTGTATTGATCGCGTACAAGTCTCACCAGAGCTTGCCACTGATGGTTCGCATCAATCGGCGGAACTCTCAAAGGAGGAGGACACATTTCGTATTTATCTTCAGTCAGCCAACCAAAAATATCATCTGCCACCCCATCTGAGTCAATGTTGACAGATCCAGATTGGACCAACAGATCGTCTGAGTAGGTCTGTGTACCAATGCTACGTCGAGATGATGCTATGTGGCTACCCGCTGTAGTTGTATGTTGAGATGAACCGTCATCACCTATGGAGATCTCTTCATCGTTGGCGGTGTTATCAATCGAGGAAGACGACATGGCAAGGCTTGGGCTGGTGTTGTGTCGCGGTTGGAAAGGAAGGTGATTGTAGAAACAATCCTATGAAAGATAGAATGTTATCAACCTGATCTGCTTATATGCTCATCACGGTCAGTCAGTAGCGGTTATGCTTCTTGCACACCATCGACATCTCATCAAAGGAGCACCTTTGAAGTGAGGGTGATTGCGCAATCAAGGTGAAACGTTTCAGCTACTCAAAGCCTTCTCGAGTGCCAACAGCTTGATGTTCGTAACATGTTCATCAGCGACTGCCCGTTCAGTTGTTTTATAGTGCTGACGCTTTGTCATTTTAAGGTCCCGACGTTGCACACAGCATATTGAAGGCGACATGCTGTCAAATTCCTGACACGAAAGCGGCGAGGTAGCGATTCGCATAATCAACGATCCTATAGCCAAGTGAATTTTCCGTATACAAGACGCCGTTTATTCGTCCTTTCTTGTCTTCTTTACTTTTTCGAAACACTCCCGTCCAAGCAATACTCTCGCGCTGCCCACGACTTTGCCCCCGTCTAGTGAGGGAATCGCCAACCCTTCTCCTTGATCTCGATCCCTTGCCTGACAAACACCTCGTTCTGTGCATCTTGGGTCTTGTCCAAGATTCGGTTGAGCCTCACGACCCTCCATCTGATCAGCCCGGCGGTGACGATCGATAGGCCGCAACCCACGAGGAGCAAGCCTCCGCCGAGCTTGTAGAGGGGCTCCTGGGAGGTAAGAAAGAAGTAAGGCGTGAACCAGTGGCTAGTTGACGAGACTGCAGATATGGACGAGGACCGGCGGGATGGTACGGTCAGCCTTGCCTTGCGCTGACTCTGCTGCTGGGAAGCGGACAGGGACTCCGACTCACACATATTGGCTATCGCGATAACAGCCGCCTTCTTGTGTCGGGGCGAGGGGATGATACTGGTCTCCCAACTGACTTGCAAGTTGAGACCCGATGCAGTACCCTTACCGACGAGACATCCGGAGTCAGCGACCTGGATGGCGCCGCGATAGAAGACATCAGAGGGGTGCGCACCATGATAAGTAAGCAAACTCCCGTGTATCGCACGCCAACGACCTCGGTCATGATGATCATGAGCACACCGCCCATGCTAAAGATCAAGGGGACGATCTGCGTGACGAGCAAGATCTGACATCAGCGTGCGAGGCACCTTGCTACGTCATCACGATTCGCTCACGATGTGCAAAGTATTCTCCTTGAAATGCCCGGCACTCCATCCGAAACCTAGCGTTGCAAGGAAGCCCAAAAAGAAACAGGGCGACTGAAGCTGCGAGGCCGTTTGTTCCGAGGAGTGAGTGTCAGATGTCTCGACCGGCATCTTATGGTCGCGACGTACCAAGTAGGTCGTGAGTTTCGATTTGCCAAAGGTTTGCAAGATTGTGGGCAGGAAGTCTTTGTAGGCTTGCTGTGGTGAGGCGGAAGCAGGAAGATCAGCTGGGTGTCGCCTGATGTGAACATGTGCCTTGTGGGTCGACTTACGCCGATGACAAGGAAAAAGTGCATCGCACAGAAGATCCAGCTGGAAATGGGCGATCGTGAACATCCAGAAACGGTTCATTGATGACCAAAAGCCTCGCCGCCGCGACCTACGTGAACGGATCCTTGGCTGCTAGTTTGGCTCCACCAAATATGGACAGCTCGTTCTGGATGATGCAGCCGATTTTCAGCATGGTGCCTGTCATTCTCACAGCGCGAAGTCTCCTGTTGGCAACTGACCTTGCCCTCGTCGTGACCACCAGCAGAAAGTACCAAGCGGTATTGAGCCATTTCGGTTTCTTCAGCGGTCATCCAAGGAGTGTTGTTGGCTAGAGATAGATGGTCCGACGAGCGATGAGCGATCTGATCGACACGATACAAGCCTGCCCGTCGTCGATCGACTGACCCCAGTTCGGAAGACACCAGTAGGCGGCTCCGGCGGTTGCGATCGAAACGGCTCCTTCGATGAGCAAGACTATGGGATAAGATTCCAGTGTCAAAACACCTCTAATCTACGCCTGGCTGTTTTGAGACGCGATCATCTTACACCACTGCCAGGCGTGTAGGCCGCGGACGCCTTGCATTGTCTCGAGGATGGCGGCGGCGAGAGGACCGCCAAAGACGGAACTGCAAGGGACAAGGGAGGCAGATGATCAGCGACCGATTGCCCGATTGCTCAGGAGCTTGTGGCGAAGCGAGACAAGCTGGCACTTACGACAGAGTGATGGCGGCGTGCCAAATGGCCATCCTGAATGGTAATTCGTCCTTGACTATGGGTGACAGCGGTGTGTCCGCACGATCAGTCTCGATTCATGGCCGTTCATGACGTTCGGAGAGATGTGGCGTCCGACTTACCATACCAAGCTATAAAACGAACCTCGCCGGGGATGAGTAAGATTGAAAGAAGTTCGATCGCTCTAGCAATTCGATTGCTCACAAGACGTCATGAGAGCGATCCCGGGGCTGTGTGAAACAGGTCGTCAGTCTCGAGCGGCGGGGTCCATTGAGAAATGCGCAAAGCCTAGACCTACAAAAAAGGTCCTGTATACATATCGTACCAGAGTTGACAGGGGGATACGTTAGCTTAGTTCTACGGTCTCGACCCATCTATGACCCGAGCTCGAGAAGAGACACAACACACCTTCGAACAGACCGACCAGCAGTCGACAGATCATGAACCCAGTAGCGTTCGTAGCTAGGGGCATGCAGATCGTAGGGACACTCCAGCAGAACCTGTACGCGCGGGGGGTGGGGGGTGGGGGGAGGGACAAGTTGAGTGCCGAGGTTTCGAGGTCCATGAATTTCCGGTTAAAAAGGCGTCCGTCAACTAAGATACTGCGGTCCGAATTTTGCGAAAACTTACATCATCAGAGGCATGATGATCCTAGGTTTACCTCGGGAGAGGATCAACGATCCGGGTAATTGGGAGATCATGTACCCAACTTTCAATGGCGAACACGACGCGAAAAAGAATAGGAAGAATAGAACCCGACGAGGACGACTCGGTCAGCATTTGCTACCATCGGTTATTGATTATATCCGCCTCGAATTCGTATAGTATAGTATAGTATAAGATAGGCTCACCGTAGAAGAGAGAGATCCCTGCGGACCACTGTACGTCGGTCATCTTCAGATCGTCTTGCATCCCAGCGACCCGAGCATTGGTCACTACGCCATGCGAGAAGAGAGGAAAAAGATCCCCGAGTCTGGTTAGTCGAACGAGGAGGCTTAGAAACTGTGATACTGTAAGCCACACTTGCCGTTTGTTCGGTCGAGATAGTTGACTGCATAGAGAAGGATGATAGTGTGAACATGGTCGTCAACATCATATCAGACACGACGTGACGTTCGCGACCTCGAGAAGGTAACGGTAATAGGGTACTCACTGAACAGCATAAAGGTGATCATGGGCAACATCCAGATATCGCTATGGTATGGTATCGTATCGCATGAATCAGATGACGTACCAATCGATTCAACACTTTCTTAGTCAGCCCGCAGAGTCTTCTTGCGTCGCAGAAAGGAAGCTCTCCACGACTACCACGTATAGACTCAAACTCACATTCGTCGTCGAACACGCTTGTTGAGAATTTCTCTCTCCCCGGGGGTCATCCCGACCAGCAAAGGGTACCTCTTCAAGATGTTCGCTGGGGAGTTGGGATCTTCCTCTCCTCCATCGGCGTAGAGGATTTTTTCCTTGTCGACTTCAATGTCCTCTCGCATCTCGATCTCGGCGTCTTTACGGTCTTCCCGTGGCAAGACGGTCATCGTGGTATCGTCCGTAGCTGGGTTGATGATCGGGTTGGTCTTCATAGTGGTAGTAGTAGTAGTGATAAACTCAAATGCTGGAGAGATTGAGATGTGGAGATCGTCTAGTCCGAGTGTGGAAATGAAAACGAGCGACTTGGTCGGTTCGTCTTATATGCTGCGCGGTTTCCTTCTCGTCTCACTGAGGATGGGGATGCACCAGACGATCGGCGTTGTAAGGTGAAATCTAGCGGGAAAGCCTGGATGAGTGTGTCGACTGGGCTCTGACCCCATGGGGCCGCAATTGCACTCTCCTGTGGGAGACCCTTGTTCGGTCGACCTTCGACTTCTCGAACTAGATTGACCGGAGCGGTGTCTTGGTTGCGATTGTCCGTTGCGGCTTTTCTGTAGCTTGTAGGTCCCCCCGGGTGGCCGTGGTGACTGCTGCGGATGACGGTACGCCGAACAGCGACCTGTGGCATATCGGATATGGGAGGACTATCGAATGCCTGGTGGATGATTCGTTGTGGATGGTGGATGGTGTCGGACTGACGAGGGCAAAGGGGTCTGGTTGCTGGTTGTGAACGAGTGAAGTTCGAATCACGGCGAGTCGAATGCCTGATGGGTGTCGGAAGTAAAATGAACACTTCGGAAGCAAAATGATCGGGTTCCTAGCGGGAAAATACACAGCAACATCGAAGTTGTGGCAAAACCGAGGGCGGGACATGGGATGATGAGGACGTCGAGTGGCTAGGTTCAATGCCATCAGGGACCTCTTGTGGAAGGTTATTCAAGATCAAAGAGTGCTCCTACAAAGTCTCACATCTACCAGCGCCTGTCGGCCATGAACAGGAACTCGAATTGTCAACAACGGCGCGATCGGCATGGACGACCCGAGAATGGGAATCAAATGGAGAATCGTTATAAGTGAACTCTCCTAGTGTACATTATACGACAAACTTCGTTCCTCCCCCGTACGATTCCCGCCTTCGCCGCTTTACCAACCATGATACGAAGACCTAGCAGACACAATCTCTGGGCGTGTCGTGTACGAGCGCGTCCACTAGATGCTGCACCATGGCGAGATTGCACGCCACCTGCGTATCAGCGTTTCCCGCTCCTATATGGGGACTAGAACGGTTTGATTTTCGATTTGATTTCCGATCAGCTCGGTTGTCCTCGTCTCATTGCACATAGTTATCGTGCCTTCAAGACAACGCGACACTGTACTCACGTCATGACGACGTTATCGCACTCGGCGAATCCAGAGTAGACCTCCAGAGTCGGAGGTTCGATCTCGAAGGCGTCCAGTCCCGCTCCATAGATCGTCCCATCCCTCAACGCATGTAACAAGTCGGTCTCGTCGACAATCCCTCCTCGAGCGGTGTTGATGAGGATGGCCGTAGGTTTCATCATCCGTAACTGACGAGCCCCGATCAGACCTCGGGTGGATGGTAAGAGCGGGATGTGGAGACTGATGATATCGGCCCTCGGGTAGAGTTCTCGTTCGAGGTCGTCGACGAACGAGATCTTTTCCGAGGGGATACTCGATATCCAAAGAGCTTTGGCGGTGGGGGTAATATAAGGGTCATACAGCAAGACGCTCGACCCGAAGCATCGATGAAACATCTGACCGACGGCCAAGCCGATGTTACCTCCACCGAGGATCCCGATGGTACGGCCATGCAGGGTGAGACCGTCCAGGCCGATGGATTTGGTGATCCCCTCTTCTCCTGATCGGATCTTGCGATCGATGGTAGAAATTTTACGAGCGACGCTACATTACAGGCGTGGGGGGCAAGGTCGCCCGGACGTCAAGCGCTTGTAAGTATCGATCCTCCTGCCCCTTCATCAGGACGACCACGCGCTCACCTCATGGTAAGAGCCAGAGCGAGTTCCGCTACCGCTATCGCCTACAGCGACGACATCACAGCAGTGTACTCGGCGTCAATTCCCGTCCAATGAGAACATCGCTACAAACGCTATCACGACCCGAGTGAGACCTTACTCACGTTGACCCCAGGAGTGTTCATCACCCGTATGCCCAACCTCTTCGCCGTATGAGCGTCGATCTTGTCCACCCCGACGCCGTGCTTGGCGATGAACCGAAGTCTCGTCGCACCTTCCAGATCTCGTGCAGTGACATAGCTTCCCCTGACGAGAATACCTTCCGCATGGGCCTGCCACTCGTTATCATCAGCGTTGGCCCGGATGCGAAGTCGGAAATGTTTCTCGGCGAGGGCCTGGGCGGACGGTTGGAGCGGGTCCAGCGCGTAGACGATGGGCTTGTCACGGTGCTGAGGCTGGGTGTTGGTCGGCATCTCTTCTGCTTCTAGTCCTTTACGATCTTTGTTCCGATTTCGAGAATGCGTAGGCAGCTGGATTGGACTTGACGTCGTGTCCGTCGCTACAGGCTATGATGACCGAAAGAACGGAGGGCGGACGGGTTATAACACGGTATACTGTACCCTGTAGCGATGATGTGACAAGACCGGCGCGCGCTAAATTTGACGGCGTTGATCGCCCCGGAGAGGGGAGCGGAGGTTCGAATGCCTGACGACCCCCGACCCAACCTGCTTCCCTCCTTATCAAGCGGTGGAAACCCATACTGACCTCCTGGACTGTTGGACTTTGACTCGTCTTCTCTGCAGCATGAACGGAATGACAGATCCGGACGAGTCACCGACATCGCCGTATCGGGACCCTGGGCAACGGTGTTGGTGGAAACGGGAGCGTCGGCAACGATTCGGTTTGGATGACATCTTACCCTTCCAAGCATTGCGCGAATGCTACATAAATGGTCTTGTCCTGGCAAGGAAGTCTTCAGAACCAGATCCCAATCGCCCGTCCTTGTACCAATTACGCAGATACATAGGAACAAGTACCCTCACAAGCTTTCCTCCTGAAGAACTCCAGCATGCCTTCTCTCGATATCAGTCATACGACCAGCCTCGCCTCGAACGGTAACAGCATGACCAACGGCAAGTCCAAATCTTCAACCCAACAACCTCTACCTGAAGCGCACCAAAAGGCGCTGGACGCCTGTCGCGTCAACCTGATCAAGGAGAGGCTCTCGCATCGTCAACTCTGTCATTCGCTCTCGGTCCGTTTCGTCAAGGATCCCGAGATCGCGGTCATGGCCGCCGACGCCGGTTTCCAAGGCATACTCGTCGATCTCGAGCATTCGACGTTGAACCTGGCAGACGCGGCGGCGATCAGCTGCGCTTGTCTTTGTCGAATCCTATTGTTCTCCAACACGTCTATTGTTCTCAGAACAATAGACCGCATGGAACAATAAAGCACATCCACTCTTCACACCTTTCCTTTTGTTCCCGCTTAGCAATCTGCGACCACAGTCGCAAGTTGCGACCACAATCGCAACTTTGCGACTACTGTGACCGCATGATGCAGTCACAACTTGCGACTCTGGTCGCAAGTAGGCCTTCCCAGATTAATATATATATCAGACCATTCTGGTCTGATTTCCTGATCCCCTCTTGTATATTTTATCTTCATGCAAACTATACAACAGTGATCAACTCGATATCCAACAGATTAAGAGTCGGCTGCTCTACCAACGGAGCTCAACGGGCTATTACCTTAGTTTACATCAACCAACCCTCTTCAACATCGACTTAGTTTCATCATGGCCGACAGTCTCGACCTCGACACTCTCAAGGTTACCAAGCGTACCTACCTTGAGGGTCCCGACAATTACGCGGAATGGTCCCGCTCGATTCAAAACACTTTGATCGATAAGGATCTGGACGACATTGTTGATGGAACTATTCCTCGACCTAATACCCTACCTATCTCTACCTTGGCTGCCACCGCCGGCACGGACAACGCTCCAACTACTACCACTACTACGGTCACTACTCCAGCTACAGCCGAGGAACTTGCGAAATGGATCAAGAAAGACAAGAAGGCCTTCGGAATCATCGACGGAAGTCTCAGTCAGCTTGTCCATCACAACCTCCCGTCTCACCTCTCAACCTGGCACGCTCTGGTCCAAAGGGACTCCGCTCACACCGATGAGTACAGAGCGACGCTTCCTTCTGCTTCTGAAAGATTACTTAAACATCTTCAGGAAACCTACTCGGCCGCAAGGGGATCCAGGCGGGCTGAACTTCTCGCGATCATCTGGCGATCCCAACTCGCGGAAGGAGAAGATCCGACTGTCCATACCGGAAAGCTCAAGTCGGCTTACTCCGCTATCACCGTCTCTGGCCGATCCCGGATGGACGACAAGGACTTTGCCTTTGCCATCCTCATGTCCCTTCCTTCCTCCTACGAAACCCTCGTTCAGACCTATTATCTCAAGGAGGACTTTCACTCGCAGGACGTCATTGACGCCGTCCGAGCCGAGTACAGGAGGAGGATTGTTCAGGAAGAAGGAATTGAGACTACGGCTCTCATCGCTGCCCGTCAACAAGGACGGAACAACAACAACAACAACATCGGCGGCACCGGAAACAAGAAGAAGTTCATTCCTCGATCTCCCTTTGACGAGAATGCCTTCTGCGAGTTCCATCAGAAGAATGGACACTCAACAGCAAACTGTTTCACCAAGCCCGCCAACTTCAGTACCGGCAACAACGCCAACAGGTACACAAACAACAGTGCCAACATCGCCGCACTCGTAAGCAACAGGAGTCAACATCATGGCATCAACGCCGGCTCTGCTTTCATGGCAAGCATCACCATCGATCACAATGCCCTTCTGGCCCACTCGTCTGCACTCGACATTGTCATAGACTCTGGAGCTACCCATCACATGGTCCACGACAGGAACCTACTCACTGGAATCAAACAACTACCGATCCAGGCAAACATCACCATAGGCAACGGCGCCAACATCACCGCCAGAGAATGCGGTCAACTCAAACTTCCAAACATCACACTACACGATGTTCTTCACGTACCCGAACTGGGACGGAACCTTCTGAGTGTCGGTGCCGCACAGAGCACCGACGGACACTCTTGGACCTTTGCAAAAGACAAAGCGATCCTCAACACTACTGAAGATGGACCCAGCAAACCGGTCATCACAGCAACACGACAAGATGGTTTGTTTGTCCTCGATCCGGCAAGCACTCCTATTCGACACAAGGCCGCACTCATCACGGCCACCAATAACGTCACAGAGGACAACATCCTATACCACTGGCACCGCAGACTTGGCCACCTCAACGTTCGCTCGGTGGTTCAGCTTGGCAAAGAAGGAAGACTCGACAAGACTGTGGATTGGGCCAAAGCTGGAAAAGATATCTACGGTTTCCAATGCTCAGCTTGCATCCAGGGAAAAGGATCTCGACTTCCCGCTCCTGCTTCCAACATCCGAGCCAGCAAACCACTCCAGTCTATTCATGTCGATCTCTGGGGACCAGCTCGAACCCCTTCCATCGGAGGATCCCTCTACTTCCTTACCTGTTACGACGATCACACTCGGAAGGTCAACCTCAGCTTTCTCAAGAAGAAGTCTGAGACCCGGCAGGCATTGATCGACTATATCAACCTAGTTGAGAATCAATTGGACTGCACGGTCAAGACCATCCGATCGGATCAAGGAGGAGAATTCGAGTCACATGCTCTTCGTGACTACCTCAAAGCAAAGGGCATCGAGCATCACTTCGTTCCAACTGCCGCTCATGCTCAGAACGGTAGAGTTGAAAGGGCGCACCTTACCATTCTCAATCAGGTAAGGACGCTCCTGATCGATAGCGGACTCGATGACAAGTTCTGGGCCGAAGCGGCAAACTACGCCATCTACACCAGGAACCGGGCTCCCACAGGATCCGACAAACATATCCCGGAGGATCTCTGGAGGCAACGTGAAGTCAACTCCCGGCATCTTCAACCCTTTGGCTGTCAGCTCTGGTTCCGTGACCACAACAATACCAACAAACTTCACCCTCGCTACAAAGAAGGGCAACTACTCTCTTACGTTGAGGGAACCGACAACTACAGGATTTGGGACCTACACACCGAAAAGGTCACCATCTCTCGTGATGTGGTCTTTGGTAAACAACCAAAGATTTCCACCAACACCAAATCACTCGAAAATAAAATCCAGTCCACTCAGGTCGACATCGACATAGTCCCTGAACCAACATCAGACTCAGACCCTGAAACGGAAGAGGATCAATCGGCTGAAGACAATACTGATACTCTCAACTCACCCGATCAGTCTGGTGATGACACGACCATCCCAGGTGATCAGGCTACACAGGCTACACAAGCCAAACAGAAGTCATCCGGCATTTGGAGCAAAGGATGGGACATAGCACCGGTACCAACACCGGAGAACCCAATCTTGCCTGATGGCTCCCGACGAGTCCGCAAACCACCTGCCAAATTTGGATACTCAGCAAACCTTGCTACCGCCGTCATCTGCGGTCACGCACTCATCTCCACGGCTATCCCTCAAACATTTCAGGAAGCCCACCGATCTCCAGAATGGGACAAATGGCAGGAGGCTATCAAAGCCGAACTCGACAAGATGGATCAGTACAAGGTCTGGTCCGTCATCAATAGGCAAGAAGCTACATCCAAACCTCTTCGAGCCAAGTGGGTCTTCACCCGGAAGATTGACGGAGAGACCGGGAAGCCATCTGCCTACAAGGCTCGATGGGTAGCAAAAGGATTTCTGCAGAAGGAAGGAGTTGACTACAACGAACTCTATGCGGGAGTTGCTCACAAGGACACCATCCGAGTCTTCCTCGCTCTGGTCAACTACCTCGACATGGACTGTGACCAGGTCGATATCAAGGCCGCCTTCCTCAATGGAGAACTAGAGGAACTCGTCCATCTTGAACCTCCTGAGGGCAGCAACATCCCTGCCAACAAGGTTCTCCGACTTCAGAAATCACTTTACGGTCTCAAGCAATCACCTCGCTGCTTCAACCAGGCTCTTGACAAGTTCCTCCGATCTCTCGGTCTCATTCCCTCTCCGGCCGACTCCTGTCTCTACATCCGATCAACCAAGGCTACACTTCTCATCCTCTCAGTCCACGTTGATGACCAACTCATCGCCTGCAACAACCGCCAGGAACTGGACGACTTCAAGACCAAACTCAACGACCGATTTGAGTGCTCTGACGGAGGAGCGGTCTCTTACTTTCTTGGGTTCAACGTCTTCCGAGACAGGCCCAACCGGAAACTCTACATCTCTCAAGAACACTACGTACAGGCGGTCTTGGAAAGGTTCGGCATGCTCGACTCCAAACCAGCAAAGACTCCCCTTCCTTCCGGCTTCCGATCTCTTCCCGCTACCGACGCTGAACATCAGGAAGCCGCTCATGAAGAATATCCCGCAATGGTCGGATCAATCATGTATGCGGCCACCATCACCAGACCCGACATCGCTCATGCCGCTGGAGTCTTAGCTCGGACCGTCAGCAAGTGGAACAAACAACATGTCCATGCAGCTCGACACCTGCTCAGATACCTCCAAGGCACTATCGAACTCTGCCTCACCTATGACGCTACCTCTGGTCAAAGGATCATCCTAGGCTACGCCGATGCTGACTGGGGCGGATGCTTGGACACTCGCCGATCTACTACCGGATACCTCTTCCGTGCTTTTGGAGGACCGGTAGCCTGGAAATCCCGACGACAACCAACCACAGCTCTCTCCACTGCGGAAGCTGAATACATGGCTTCCGCTGATGCCACCCGACAGGCAGTCTGGCTCCGCACTCTTCTCGAATCCCTCGGTCACCCGGTCTCTGGTCCCCTCGCCATTCTCAATGACAACAATGCCGCCATTCAGCTCTCCAAGAATCCTGTTGCTCATGATCGCACTAAACACATTGACATGAGACACCACTATCTCAGGGAAAAGGTACTTGACAACACCGTTGAACTCTCCCATGTTCCAACTCAGGACAACCTTGCCGACGCTCTCACCAAAGGTCTTGCCCATCACCAATTCCATCACCTCGTCACCGGGATGGGTCTCAGCGGCAAACCGGTAACCTTCACAAAGGACGCTTGAGTGAGGGGGAGTGTCGAATCCTATTGTTCTCCAACACGTCTATTGTTCTCAGAACAATAGACCGCATGGAACAATAAAGCACATCCACTCTTCACACCTTTCCTTTTGTTCCCGCTTAGCAATCTGCGACCACAGTCGCAAGTTGCGACCACAATCGCAACTTTGCGACTACTGTGACCGCATGATGCAGTCACAACTTGCGACTCTGGTCGCAAGTAGGCCTTCCCAGATTAATATATATATCAGACCATTCTGGTCTGATTTCCTGATCCCCTCTTGTATATTTTATCTTCATGCAAACTATACAACAGTGATCAACTCGATATCCAACAGTCTTCAAGCAGGGTGAGCCATGTCGAGCTATTGTGGTCTTTCGGCCGTATGGATCGGCCAGCGGGCTCGCACTGATTCAGACGGCCTCGTCTCCTCTGTACTGCACGCGCAGGATCACCCCGATCGTCCGAGTCCCCAGCAACTGCTCCGAATGGATCTCTCGAGTGCTCGACGGTGGCGCTCAGGCTGTGATCGTACCGCACGTCAACAGCGCCGCTGAAGCCCGAGACGTCGTCCGATGCGCCAAGTTCCAGCCATTGGGAGAACGGTCGGCGACGTCTGGTCTGCCGTTGTTCAAGTATCGCAGCGTCGGGGCCAAATACGGGAATTTGGTCGCCAACGAGGCTACCCTGGTCATCGTCATGATCGAGACGGAAAGGGCTCTCGAGGTGGCCGAGTGAGTCTTGGCTCGCAACGAGCCACTTCACCTTTTTTATTTCTTTTCGAGACGGTGAAGTGCGGTATGCTAAATCTACGTGTGCTCTCTTTCTCTCTCCGAAAAGCGAGATAGCGATGGTCGAAGGCGTCGACATGATCCTCATCGGTACCAACGATCTCTCCGCCGAGTGAGTTCCCTGCCCGTCAATGAAAAGATCGCCTCGATTGACTGATCTTCCCGCTTCGGCGCCATCATCTATGATTGCAGCATGGGTATCGCTGGCGAGTTCGACCACCCCAAGATCGCCGCCGCCTACCGCACTGTAGCATCCGCCTGCCATAAAGCCAGCCAAGCGTCGGGCCAGATCAAGTCTCTCGGCGTAGGCGGGCTCAACTCTCGGCTCGATCTGCTGGAAAGATTCACTCGCGAGGACGAGTTTGGCGTGTCCAGGTACATCATGAGCGCGACCGATAGTCCGATCTTGATGGCAGGGATGACGAGCAAGGTCAAGCAGATGTCGGAGCTAGAGGCCAAACTGCAATGATCTGATGCGAGGCCACCCCGATTGCCTTTGAAGGGTCTGATAGAGCATGCGTTGTACGATAGGTGGAGACTGCGGGGGCTGGGGAGATTGTAAGAAACGATTAGCGATCTGATTAGCACAGGTCCTTGTTCTCTTGCGCGGGTCATTAGCATTTCGACTAAGTAACACACTTACTACTCTCACACTTGATCAGACGATCGAAGATCTGCCTGCTAATTGTCATTTGACACATGGCAAGCTAGGAATACCATACCACATTAGTAACTTATGCTACCCCGATCAGTACTTGATCTTGCAAGCCGGTGGACGTCACGTGCAGACACAGGTGTCGGCCACCAGGTCTGGCAGCGGATTTGGCGATGTCGCAGGACGATCGACGTCTTCCTTATACATACTCACCATCATCGTCCCTTCCGATGCGAGACCCCATATGCGAGACCCCATAAAATCTGAGATAGTCTTCCATCGCCAGACGATCTCTCTGGCTCGCCTTGATCTCGGACCGCAGCAGCGATGAGCGACAACGAACAAACGAGCTCGACGGAACGCCCATCTACTCGGAAACCCTACGGATTCGCCTGTCGAGGTTGCAAGAAGAGAAAGGCCAAGTGTGATGGTCGTATGCCAGGATGTGAACGATGTGAGAGACTCAAGGAGCCATGTGTATATGAAATGTGAGTATGTGGAGGAGGGAACATGGTTTCACATCCTGGATGTCAGGAGACGATGCTGTCTTGCTCTTTGCAGGAAACCTCGAACGACCGTCACGGTCAAGCAGACCGTAGCCACTATCAGGCGACATCAGGCGTTCCTCAAAGGGTTATCTGATGATCCGGATCTGCCTATTAGCTACAAGAATCGAATAACTTCATACCTGGAAGAGGCAGAGTGGTACCCGGATTTGTACGCGAACGTCACGTTTACGAGCGAAGCCGAATCTTCACCTCGGATCAATGCCAATAATGTGACATCTGGACTTCCGATCACGACAAGAAGGCATCAAGTCGACGGTACCACCGAGCAGAAAGATAGCTGGCTCGCGGAATCCAATCATGTCCAGACGTCTTCGGTCTTTGAACACGAGCCCAGTGTCCAGGACTCCAATCAACGGGAAGATCTGGACGAGATGTTGCTCCATCTGAGCATGGACGAGAGCGGCAAGGTAAAGTCTTCATGACAGCCCGTCTTCGGCAACATCGCGATTGGGATCCTGACTTTTCACCCCGCCCCTGTGATCTGGTAGATCTCTCACTTTGGATCCACCTCCATGCTGTACCAACAGCCTCCCGCCCACGTCGTCAACCGTCACTTTGCTGTCGATGGGGTTTCTTCCGGGTCCGACCCGACAGCGTCATACCAAACGGCGCTTGAGACACAGCAACATGGATATGAGCCGTCACAGCATCTACAATCTTGGGGGCTAGAGTCGAGTGTGCGATCGGACCAGACGTCTTTGGGCATGGGAATCACAGAGCTGGAATCGTGGAAGAACCGTATGTCAACAGAGCTCGACGACGTTGCTTTTCGGGGTGGAGAATTGGGAGACTCAAACTAAGGGCAATATGTTCCTTTCTCATAGTCGCTTACAATCGGCTACGGCTCGATTTTGCGGACGAGGCGGAGATCATATTGCAACTGCTCGAAGGCTATTTCTCGTGGCAGTACGCTGTACACTGCGTGATCTACAAGCCAGCATTCTTCCGTCAGTCCGCCGCTGGTCTGGTTCAAGATTGCTCATCACTGTGATGCTAAGACTCGTCGGTCCCTCTCTCTCTGTCTTTCCCCTCGTGTCGTTCTGCCACGACAGGGGACATGGCTCTAGATGGATCCAACTTTAATCAGTTCCTGCTCTGCACACTGTGTGCCGTAGTCAGTCGACGTGAAGGACTGTCGCCTGAAGCTCGACTTGCTGACCAGGTCGAACGGTTTCACAGGCAGCCAACAATCTCCGCAGCCCGGCTGTTCCTTCGACGAGTCACGTCGGCGGCCTGTCCGTCATCGGACGGGACGTTCTCAACGCGGCGAATTCTGGATTCGAGTCGGGTACGCGGACGCCCGCTGGGAGTGACACTGGTATCGAGTATCTCGCCAAGGCCAAATTGCTATTACAAGCCGAGATGGACAAGGTGAGCTGCTGGTAACGTGGCATAGATTCCATTTACATCCTCAAACCCGCTCCCTTGTGTCTACACGATACGATGGCCCAGCTCGATTCCGACAATACAAGGACTACTCCTGCTCGGTCAACGAGAATGCGCGTATGGTAATCTCAGTCAAGGTTGGATGTATACCGGGATGGTCAGTACACGATACGTCAGACCGTTAGTGATCCGGGGACAAGGGCTCATCTTGGCTCCCAATACGGCGATAGGCCTTTCGTGCGATGCGGTGAGCGAGTGTGCTGCTGTTTCGCTTGTCGTCATGTTCCCAACTGAACGATACTCTTCTTTAGGGATCTCGGCATTCATCTCGATTGCAACCGCCTGCCCAAATTTGGGTTCGGGACCTTGTCAGCCGAAGATCGGGAGATCCGCAGACGTCTCTTCTGGTCTGCATATACCTGGGACAAGTGAGTCGATTCGCGAATTCTGAATGTTGACGCATTTCCGTCCAGCCGAGCATCTTGACGGATCTGTTCCGACCGGGCTATTTGCACAGGGTCATCAGTCTCGCTCTGGGACGCGCGCCGACTTTCAACGCCTTTCAGAATGCGTCTCCAGGCGACATTGTGGATAGCAGCGAGGATGATGCGCTCTGGAAGCCGTATTACGGTGCAGACGGTGACGCAGACACTATGGCGGTATATCCACCCCGGAAGAGCTACGTTGCGCTGACCTTTCGGGCCTGGACTCGGCTCTCCGAAGTGGGTCTAGATGTGTCGTGTTGATGCCTACATCACGATCCTTATAGCGATCTCCGCCACAGATAATTCAAGGTATCACTTTGCGAATCTTCACCGGACGACCAAAGGCTGCCCAGCAGCTGGGATTCGTTCGCGACAAGCACGAGGCGTTACTCAGGTGGTTCCAGAATTTGCCAATCGCAATCAAGATGGAGGTCGCCAATCTTCCCGATGTCTGTCCCCCACCGCACATCTTTACGCTCAATGCGATGTATCGCACGGCGTGGATTTTATTGTGAGTATTGCTTCTTCGTAAATGTGGTAACAGTGGCTGAAATGGCAAAGCATGGCTCAGATACAAACTCTACACGCCTTATGGTCTCACGGCCCAGATGGCTCCGCTCGAGGTTTGTCGTCAAGCCACCGAGATCTGCAATACGATGGCGACAGAGCTGCATCAACTCTTCAAGCTGTACGGAACGACATTCCGCCTCAAGCACATGACGTACACGCTCTCGTATGCGATGTATGCGGCGGCAACGTAAGTCCGTCACGTCCATCCGAGGCGTTACAATCCCTGACGTCGCCCTTCTTCGTCTTCAGTATACATGCGATGAATTTCCGGTCGACGGACCTTGGTGTCTCTGGACCTGCCGCGGAGATGCTGCCGTTCTCTCTTCACGTCCTGGACAAGTGCAGAGTGCACACCCCAGGAGTTCGCCGCGTGGGTTCAAGCCTCGGTCCTCGGCACGATGCTCACTGACAAGTGCACATGCCCTATTAGAGCATCGACATTATAAAGAAGCACTTTCTGCGGTCCGATAATGCTCTGCAGGACAGCTCGCGAAAACGCATGGCGCAAGAGACCGCGCTGCCAGTCACAAAGCGCAGACATTTCGTGGAGCCACTCGAACAATACGCTCGACATGGCCTGCTGGAAGTCAGCCCCGGTGTGAGTGCGTCGCTGAATGTCGCGTTGGATTCTAGTCTGACCGCGAGTTTGCGATCGCGTCCAGACCGGTCAGGTCGAGCTGAGCACGGATCCAGGGTCGACCCTGCTCACCGACGCAAACTCGTTGAACGATCTCTACTTGCAAGCCATCCTGGATAACTGGCATACCGAAGCCATCCCTTCGCCACAACACGCTTGGGATATGGACACACTCGCCGGCATGGCCAACGCGTCGATGGGGTTCGATTGGAGCGCTTGGAATTCGCAGTAATCGATCGATCGACATGTCCAAGGCCTAGCCCGACGACTGTTGTTCTCAGGATCGGAAAAGCCGCTTTAGGACAGGTTCATTCTGCTGGCACGGACTATCGGCTGCACACCCGTGGCCGGATTGATGGCGCCACAATGTCATGTAGATTCTTCGGCCGATCGATGCTATAAGCATACTATGTGGTACCTACAGTATCATACGGTGAGACCATCTGGTCAGACCCCCCCCCCCCTCCCCTTCCCCGCGTATCGCTAAAAGTAAAGTACCCGCTGGGTCGTCCAATGAACATCCGACCCCTACGTCTTACATTACTCGTACACATACATCTGATCGCCCTTCCAAACGGCCCAGTCATTTCCAAGTCAGGTCGATAGGCGTCGCTCTACGTGCAAGGTACATTAGATGGGAGCTGACATATATCACTCTAGGAGAGTCTACTCTGCTCTGATCTACTGCAGGTTATCATGATCGTGATTATGAGTCGTGAGTTCTGGGTCGTGTCACACGATATAATAGGCTAAACAAGGCAAAGGTCTTGAAGTAGCGTGGCGTGGTGTGCCCCATTCGATGAGTTTTGAGATCTCGACTTCGACATCTCCGACCTCGATCGCGATTTCGAGGAGGATTGCCGAGGTTTCGAGGTTTCGGTGTTTCGAGGTTGGTCTGTATGTGTGGTCGTGTCTGGATATGGCATATGATACCACCCACGAGCACGACCTGATCAGGGGAACGCGCTTATTGGCCCCTGTTCACAAAGTATACCTGCTGTGTACCGTGTACTTTGTGTCTTGTACTATACCGTACCATACAATAGGCTGAAACCGAGTTGAAGGTAGTATTCATTGAGGCTGAGAGAATACGGTACTGTACGGTCTCAAGGCGGAGGCGGGAGCGCGGGTGGAAGGTTTTGGAAGGTGATGTAAGTCGAGGCGAGGCGATGGTAAGGTGATATAGTACGATTTGATTAGATGGGATTCGATGGGATGCGATGAGATAGAGTGCAGTGCGGTGTAGTGTATGTAATGCGAATAAGAGCCGGTTGGCAGTGTCGATGTACTGTAAGAGATACAGTATCTTAAGTGTATGCTGTGAAGTACATTTCATATCATAAATCATACAACGTCCACACCGGAGGAGAAATCTAAGGGATTCCGGCAAGGACCGTGCTGTGCTGTGCTGTGCTGTGTGTCGGGATGAGATAAGATGAGATGCTTGATCCCTTCCGATCCGATTCCGCAGTACTAGGACCAGGACCAGGTTCAGGACCAGGACGGCTCGTTATCAGTAATGTAAAAGAATGCGCTCTGATCACTCATGCCAAATGCTCATCAAACCACGGATCTATTCGACGGTCGAGGATCGAGGGTGGAGGGTTGAGGGTGGAGGGTTGAGGGTGGAGGGTTGAGGGTGGAGACAATCTCACCTCGCCTTGCAATAATACATTTTGTTAGCGTCCAATGGGGTGGGACCGGGTCGGGGATCCGATCTCTCGAGCCCCTATACTGTATACTGTAAGCCGAGCTTCGAACCTTTGAGACGCTGCGGCGCTCGGCGGGCAACAGAGTCGACGCGATAAGAGGATGCATACTATGCTATGCTATGCTGTAGATTACGGTACGGTACGATATGGATTGGGGGTACGATATGGATCTGGACCGATGGAGAGAGGGGTCGTTTGTTGGGGCGATTGATGACTGCATGACAGATGTTTGGCAGAGTCAAAAGAGTCTTTTCTTTTTGCCTAGTTGCGATGTCACAGAATACGATGGCTGCATGGCTGAACACTGAAAGCGCCTTCCGGTTAGCTAGGTAGACATCGGTTGGCTATGCTACTACAAGGGGGTCTAGATACAGTAGACGTCGGCGCTGTGCTTATGTAGGTCGCGAAGTCACGTGACACCCCCACACTCTTCTCATGGCGACGTCCTCGTCGCTGTCGATGTCGTTGATCGAACTCGTTTCACTTCTTTTAAATACCAAACTCAAATAAAACCCAAAACCCACTAATCCCCGTTCCCGTCCATTCTGTCCCCTTCCTCTATCCCTCTCCACGCTCCCTTCCACGCTCGTAAGCGATCGAATCCGACTCTTCCGACTTGTTCACCATCGGGAGTAGCGAGATACGCAGACGACCTAGAAAGTTCGGTGATCCTGTACGGACCGGTCCATTTCATCCGAAGTTTCTTTGATGTGTCGTGGGTTGCGTCCCTACTCTCGTCGTATCGTTGTACCAATTGTCCGACTTCGAACATGCGAGCGCCCCTGTTTGGCTTGCCTCGTCTTTCGATGTCCTCGTCCCTGGCCTCCACTGCTTCTCTCCTCAAATGAACACCGTCGTTCACCGCTTCTGCCATGTCGACTGGAATCGGCCTATCGTCTGTTTTGCCGAACAAAACCTCTCGAGGACTGTATCCTCCGAGCAGGTCCATCTTTCTGTCGTTCAGCGCGGTAATCGCCTTTTGAAACCAGTTCGGCCAACTTCGGAAGCTTTCGTCCCTTATCGCCGACGCCGGATCCAGTCCCTCAGTCGGGGTTTGGACCAAACGGCGCAACCTCTCCAAGACCAGGTGATTGGCGTTCTCGGCTAGGCCCACATGTGCGTAGGGCGCAGACGGTACGATAGCGCATTTCTCTCCTAAGTAGCTCTTGACTTTTGCGTTGATGAAGTGCGATCCATTGTCGCATACCAGCTCCGATGGCAACATGTATCGATTGCGGAGGTCTTCGAGCGCTTCGATCGTCGTTTCTCCGGACGCGGGGCGTTTGAACGTCCATCCCCAGATGAACTTCGTGAATACGTCGACTGCGATCAGCGCTACTCGGTGCCCCTCATCTGAATTAGGCAAAGATAAGTAGTCCGCTGCGACGAGCTCAAACGGTGCGTAACGAGCCGTCTCCCATAAGAGCGCGTTTCGCGTTTTCGGGCCGAATCCCATGCAGGTGCTGCACGTTTCGATCGCGTTCCGTAGGTCCTTGGTTATGGAAGACCAAGTTTCGCTCTGTTCGATGTAGGATCGCGACTTCTTCATGCCCCAGTGCCCGCACTCCTGATGCGCTATCCGAGCTCGCACGCTGCCCTCTCTACAAGTCAGCACCTTGAGAGGCTTCAGCGTAACTCTGTTCTTGGTCCAGAGCTGTCCGTCTTCCAGCCAGAAGTCCTTCGCCTTCCGTTTGACCACATCGGCCTCGGCATCGATCAACTTGCTCAGAAACATTACTATCGGGTAGTAAGGGTCTCCTTGAAATCGTTTGCGCAGAGCCTCGTTCCCGTCCTTGTCGATCCACCTCACTTCTACGCCTTTGGTATCCGCGTGCAAAGTAATCTCGGGACCTTCTTGGGTAGGATTGCGACTGAGGTAATCTGCGACTACGTTTTGGCGCCCGGGCTTGTGACGATACTCGATGATCGTCGACTGAAAGATGGCTTCCTTCCAAGCCACTTGTTCGAAACTCGGTTTATCGTTGTTGAGTAATCCACGGACGGCCGAACAGTCGGTATGTAAGATGATAGGCTGTCCGAATATCAAGGGTCTGAATTTGTCCAAGGCCCACTTCGCTCCCGCCAATTCGAGCTTGAACGAGTGTTTCAAGCTTTCCGTAGGCGTGGCGATCTTTGAAGCGTACGCGATGGTACAGACTTTGCCTCCTCGCGTTTGAAACAAATGAGCTCCGAACCCTCTCGCGCAGGCGTCAACCGCTACCTCGAACGGCTCGCCGTACACCGGAGGATGTACGATCGGGTACTCCGACAGTATCTTTTTCAAGCGATCAAACGCCTCCAATCTTTCGGGCTTTTCCATCTCTGTAACGATATCCTTTTCCTCGAGGGCGCGCTTCAATTTGCCTCTTCCTTGTCGGTTCTCCACTTTCAGATCTCGCAACAGTTCGAGTAAAGGAGCCGCAATCAAGGAGAAGTCTTTGATCATTGGTCTAAAGTACCCGCATTTGTTGATAAACGAGAGTAAACCGAGGGCCGTCGTCGGAACTGGCAACTCCAGGATAGCTGCTACCTTCTCTTTGTCAGGCTCGACCCCGGCCTGTGAGATCACCTGTCCGCCTAGCGTTGTCTTTGAGACGAATAGTTTTGTCTTCTTCGGCGAGAAACGAACTTTATGTGAGATCGCCCTCTTCAACAGCGCTTCTAACTGCTGGATCCCTTTCGAGAAGTCGTTGCAACTCGAAAAGAAGTCGTCCATCCATACATCCCACTCTAGGTCCATGATCATCTTGGCTGACCCGACCTGTTGTGTTCCTGGGGAACCCGAGAGCCCTTGTGGCATCCTTGTGTAGCAGAAATGCCCCTTCCCCGGCACATAGAACGCGGTATAGGGCTGCTATAAGGCCTGGCAGCCGACCTGCCGGGTCTTGAGGTAATAAGGTCGCGGGACTGGGGAAAGGTAACGATAGGCATAGTAATGTAATAACGGATGTCTAACTACTACAAGGTACTAGTTAGACGTCTACGAGAACATCTCCTAAAAGGTCTCCGAGAGAGTCCCCGAGAGGGTCTCCGAACGAGACCCCGAGGCGACGCGCACCATAGGTCGCGCGTCACGTGACGCCTATAATAGGATCCCCCTCCTAGATGCGAGCTCCGAACGCATCAAGCATCGCCGTACTCTTGACGGCCCGGTACCGGCAACTCAGGGTGTCGCTTATGGAATTCCAGCACCAGCGTGTCGTTGTGGTGGAAGTCCGAGGGGCTAACCCACTCGTTGTGCTCGTCCCCATACCCCTCGAAGCGCACGTAGTACTGAGTCCTACGCCCGGCGCGCGTCGAACGCAACTCCTTGGAGTGTACGATTTCCGATACCACCCACCCCAAATCCCCGGTGTCCAGCACCTCTGGCTCAGGGGGTGGGTCTACTGCTCTCCCAGGAAGCTCGTTCGGCTTGTACGGGATTAGCAGCGAGACATGGAACACCGGGTGGATCCTACGCATCCCCGGTGTCAACTCCAAACGTCGCGCCATGCGACCTTCTCCTACGACCTCCGTGATC